GATCACACAGATAAAGCACATTGGTTCATCCATTCCGCATTTGATGGACATTGGGATTGGTCCCAGTTTGGAGCTGTTACTCAGGAAACTGTGAGGGACATTCATGTATTTACCCCTGTGGGGGCGTTTGTTTTCACTTCCCTTGGGCAGAAATCCAGGAGTGGAATCACTGGGTCATACGGTAACTGTATGCTTACGTTTTCATAAAACTGGCAAACTGTTTTCCAAAGTGCACCACTTTAACCTCCCTGCAGCACTACAGCACTGGTGAGGGCCAGTAGTCTTCTGCTACCCGTGGTAGTCTCCTGGTCGTGGCCACCCGAGAATTACTTTTTTTTCTAGCTGGAATTGCTACACTGTGAGCACGTGAGGCTGCTGCTGCCAACTGCCATTCGTTCACTGCATCACTTATTCAACAAACATTGCAACCACTACCTGGCAGTACAAGAAGTCCCTGGCAACCCTGACAGACAGAGACAGAGGCCTGACAGCATTGCTTCAGCACCCTGCTCCTGGGTCCCACTGAGCCTTCCAGATGCTGGGAGCTGTAATTCCCAGATGGCTGTTGGAGTCGGATGTGCTGCAATCATCAGCACCTAGCAGTCTTTCTACCAACCTACTGGGACCCACGTAAATCCAAGTGGCTGTCCTCCCTCCATTCCTTGAAGGGGCACCAACCAGCCTTAGAATCTCGGGTGAAACAGAGGTGCCAGCAGCCTGTGGCAGCTCCAGTGGAAGCCGGAGACAGCCTGGAGGGTGCTGGAGAAGTGGGAGCTGGGGTAGGGAACGGGCTTAGGTCAGGCGTGTCTTTGAGAAAAATTTGCTTCTAATCACAAATAAGATGCCCCAAAGACTGAGGTCCCGCGTTTGTGAGTGAAGAGCAGAGAAGAGAAGACGGGATGGATGGACAGATGCAGACGCAGGCAGAGGGAGAGAAAAGCACTGATTCTTTAACCACATCGTGTCTGGACTTGGGATGGCAGTGGGCTTTATTTTGTTCTTGTTTTTTGCCTATGATGCTAAGCTTGAAGTTCCCTACCAGAATTATGTGTCTGTTCATGTATTAAAAACAAATTTTAACCCACAACAAATATTTATTTTAAAATGAGGAATAACTCATTAATCCCTAAGGCGCCTCCTTACGCAGCTGGGAGCCTGGCCGTCTGCATTCCAGCCTCCTGCGTGCCAAGACCCCTTCTCGCTCCCGGGGTTCCCAGCCAGCGGCTAGCGCCTCTTCCCCCGCACGCCGCCTGTCTGGTTGCCATGGAGACACACCTGGCTGTTCGGGGACCTGAGAGTCTCCGGTCAGGGAGCTGGAACCCGGCGAGCCAACCTCTGCTACAGGCAGCGAGCGGGAGGCGGAGCCAGGGGAAGCGGCGCCTGTGCTGAGAGGCCCAGCGGACCCTGCAGAGGCCCCCTGCCCCGCTGGCTCCGCCCCCTGCAGCCCCCACCCCGGGTGGTAGAAATACAGGCGCCGCCGCCGCCGCCGCCGCCGCCCACTGCGCTCGGACCTGGCCGGGACGAGACCGCTCAGGCCCAGCTTGTGCGCGCTCCGTGCCAATGGCTGACGGGCTCTTTCAGCGCAAATCCTGGGGCGCGGAGCCGATGCGCCCGGACTCCGACCCCGAGTCTGAAGGCCTGTTTGACAAGCCTCCTCCAGAAGAGCCGCCCGCCACCCGTGCGCCCAGGTCCGCGTCGGCCACGGGCAGGAAGGGGCCTCGGCGAGCCGGCGGGAGGGCGCAGGGGCCACGCACCGGGCAGTCCCTGAAGGCTGCCGCGCGCCCCCCGCCCAAAGAGGAGGCGCCTGCCCTGGACGAGGGCTGCTATCTCGACCACTTTCCGCACCTCTCCATCTTCATCTACGCGGCCATCGCCTTCTCCATTACCTCCTGCATCTTCACCTATATCCATTTACAGCTGGCCTGAGTGGCCGGCGCGGGGCCGGGGAGGCGGGGAGGCAGCAGGGGGGAGGAGCCCAGCATTGTGTTTGGGAGACCGCGCCGCACACCCTTCACCCAGCTTTCGTTGCGTGTTCCTTCTCTGTTGTTGCTGTCTTTTATCTAGCTGTCCATCAGTGGGAAGATTCCAGGTACTGGCCCGTAGTGAAATAAGTGGCGGGAGTGGCGTGCTATTTGCAGCTACAGGTAGGGGACGGGGCACATTCAGCACCCGGCGTTTAGAGGTGCGCTTGAACCCCGTTTGTAATTAAGACGATGTCCCTGAACCCTATTGCTTTGTGACGGGGAGCACACACAGAGAGCCCAGCAATCTTTTAAGAGAGGAGGCAGCCCCGGGCCTCGCAGAGAAGGGCCCGCGGGGAGGGTGGGCGACCCGGCTCGGGCTGCGCTGGAGCCCTGTGATGTTGCATCGCCCCCGGGGGCAGCCACCATGTGTCGGAGCTGGCGCAGTCAGAACTCAGAGCGCAGGGAGCCGGCGGACCTGGGCACGCAGCGCGGGCACCACAGGAGCTCCGGACAAGGTGAGTGGCGCGTGTCCGGTGACGTGCCGCGTCCCCCAGGGTCTCCACTGACTCGGAGTGTGCGTTTTTCCTGCCTTAGGGCTTTGCTGCGGCTGCCTGATGGAGCCGAGAGCTGTAACCAGAAGAGCTGTCCCACCAGGATGCCACGCTCGGGACGTGTCCGGGGCTGCGTGGGACCCGCGACTGTGGAACTCCCGGGACGCAGGCTCGGACCTCATGTGTCCGCGGAATGAGACTGGGGACGGGCGCTGGCTGGGGTCCACGGAAGGACTGTCCTAGAGGACTGGGGATATGCGGAATTTGTCACTGTTCTGGTTGGGGCTTATCATTTCAGACCCAAATGGGCTGATACCAGCACCCATGGTAGCAGGTTATTCACCCACTGTCGTCTCTGTTTACTCCCGAAAGTTGACCGTCCAAGGGCATCCTCAGCCACCGCAACTCCTTTACCCGACAAGTGTAACTGCGTGTATTCTGATGGAATAAATCACCTCTTCATCTCCTGTATTTTCAGTTCTCCATTAATTTCCAACCATGCAGTGGACCCAAACTCCCTAGTCTGCTCCAACTGTTAACCCACCATCTTCCTAGCACCCCACAGCCCCTGATAAACACTTCACCCTATGACCCAGCATTCCGGCATTCAGCACCTCCCTACATAGCTATGCAAACCTCAGTGGCATTTTTCTCCATATCAAATCCCCATAACACGCAAGCATCCAGTGCTACCGCCGCTGACAGCAGTCTGCCACTAGCCCACCCTGGAATTAGCTCCTGCTCCTCAGGAACAGTTCCCATTTGCCTTTATTATCAAGGCACTTCCGATTTAGTACAACCCCCCAACTCAGGACCTTGTCCCCTGATCCACCTGGCCTGGGTCTTTATGAATTCAGATGTTTTCCACTATCAGGGCCCTGTCATTTCCCACTTCTGACTGCTCATCATCCATCACTGTGTGATCTGATAGCTTGCCCTCTACACTTGATTTCAGTGCCGCGAGTGTGGGATCCTGTGCTGTCAGCCCATGCTTCAGACCAAGATTATTAGAGTAACTGCTCTCCAACAGTCAGTGGAACTGTTCCCCCAAGATCACACCTCCAAGGTGACACATCTCTGTTTTCCAGCTTTCAGTTGGATCTTTGTTCCCCAGATAGCCCGCAACAGCGAGGGCTGAGCCCATACGGGATGCTGGCGTGGCAGACAGCGGCTTCACACACTACACCATGTCAGCAGGCAGATGCAGCACCTTAATAAACAACCCCAGGGAAAGCGCCGTGGCTCACTTGGTTAATCTTCCGCCTGCAGCGCCGGTATCCCATATGGGTGCCGGGTTCTAGTTCCACCTGCTCCTCTTCCAGTCCAGCTCTCTGCTGTGGCGCCGGAGTGAGGATGGCCCAAGTGCTTGGGCTCCTGCATCCACATGGGAGACCAGGAAAAAACACCTGGCTCCTGGCTTTAGATCGGCGTAGCGCCGGCTGTAGCAGCCATTTGGGGGGTGAACCAACAGAAGGAAGACCTTTCTGTCTCTGTCAAATAAATAAAAAAAATAAACAACCCCATGAAACAGCATGTGACAGGAAGAAAATAGCTCCCCCCAAAAAACCCTGAAGTGTCATGAATGCTGCATTCACTGTCAGCAGATCACAAACGATAATGGAGAGCCAGGTGGGCAATTGTCCCACTATGTACTGCATCGCTGGGGTAGATAGGTACCAGGACACAAAGTGAGCAGTGGTTTCTGAATACTATTGGGGAAGACAGTTGGGATTTAGCTATCTGGCACGGCATGGTGAAGCCAATAAAGCTTCAGCTGTTGTCTCCTCACTAGGTAGCCTGCACTCCTATGATTATCTCAATATGCTGCTCGCACCAGGCCTGTGGCTGCTGTAACTTGGCTTAAAATGCCAGAACCGCTTTCACAGTTCTGGAAGTCAGAAATCCAAAATCAAGGTGTCAGCAGGGCCATACTCCCTCTTGAGGGAGAATCTGTCTTTTGCCTCTTCAAGCTGGCGGTGGCTGCTGGCATTCCTTACTTGCTGGCATTATTCCTCCTTTGTGGTCAGAAGGCCTCCCACTCGTCTCAAATCGCTCTCCTTTGAATTATTTGAAATGCAGGCTGACAGAAGAGGCAGATCTCCTATCCACTGGTTCACTCCCCAAACACCAGCGAGGGCCAGGTCAGCAGGCTTCTCTAGTGGTGGCCTAGCTGGCTGCACCCTGCCTCTGCTTTCCTTAGAAGGACAGTTATTGGATTCATTGCCTGCCCAGGGAATTCAGGATGATTCCTATCTCCAGAGCCCAAATTTAATTACACCTGCTAAGACCCTTTTACCAAACAAGGCAACATTCACAAGTTCCAGGAATTAGGACGTGTCTTTGAAGGAATCACTCACTACTCAATCCACTACACTAGGAGATTCTGACTAAGCTACCAATGTGAAAACGGTATTCAAGGGGTAAAATGCCACACCGAGGAAAGAAACATACTGTATTATAAACAGTAGAAAATAAAAAACCAAGCTTTAAAAAATGCATATATTTAATGTACAGGATTTGTAAAAAGGACTTCTTGATAATAAACATATTCCTGGTAAATACAAGCTTTCAAAATCTATGAATAATCACAAATATTAACACCCAAGTTACTTCTTCTCTACATCAAAGACAAACTCCAAATCTGTTCTTTGGGAAGACATGGAGGGAAAGCAATATCTAAAAAGCAACACTACCTACATTTCTCCCCTTTCCTTGTGTGATCCAAGGATACAGAATATTTGACGCCTATGAGAGTGACAAATAATTTAATTAAATATTACATATAAGGCAGATTCCAAAACTACCTGAAGTATCAGAGAATTGGCATAAGCACCTAATACTAAATATAAATTCCACTATAGGGTATGCTCCATGCTTGCTTTTCTGTTCCAGTGGCATCCACTTCTTTTTTGTCCAAGGTCTTCTGCTGGACTCCAAAATACTAAGTTGTTTAACATCACCAGAGCCTTAGTGATGGAAAGGATTGACTTTGAAAACAAAACAAAACAAAACAAAAACCAGCTTCTTTCTTTAGTGAAGATCAAAATTGTCTTCTTATACTACTTGCTCTTTAAAAGTTACCAATTTCCTCATGTACGAAGAGTTACCAGGCAAGAGGAAGCACTGCTGCCTGAGGCACACTGCAGGGACCGGTTAACCACGGAGTCACCTGCTTAGCCCATCTCAGCCACAGAACGGGCCCAAAGGGTCAAGGCCACAAAAAACTCACGACTGACACACAACTTCACAAATATTTCTGACTGGCCATGAGTTCACTTATTCATTTATGCACCCAACTGTGCTATTACTGAACCAAGAATCTCTTCCCACCTGTTAGCGGCCTCTAAGGAAAAGATCTTTATAGGCCAGTTTCAAGGTAGTACAGAGATCTTTCAGGAGACTGCATCAAAAAAGAGGAAGATGTGGAATATAATCAGGTGAACAAAACCTAGTAAGATACGTGGTTGGCCTGGACAGTCACTGCTGTAAGGTCCTTACCACTCTATTTTTGATAGCTTCTTTCTTTTTTACTAATGAGAACTTAAGATATCTTCAGTTTTTTACTTTCTCTTTCCACATTGTCTCTAATGTTCTGCAGCTTTCTGGAGTTCTGGACCAGAAACACCAAACCCTCCCTAAAATCATTAGTTCCACGATCTCTGCCAACATTTTCAAGTTCATCAAACAGAGTCAATGTCTGTCTGAGTTTGGCCTGAACAATTTTTTGTTCTTCTAATTCTGCGAGAAGGGCCTCCCTGGTACGTAACTCAGTCTTATACTTTTCCTGTAACTGTTCAATCTCTTGCTGGAGAAGCTGGATTTCTTCCTCACTACAAGGATGCGACTCTTGACATTTATCTTCAGGAAGCAAGATGTGGGGGGGAATACGCAAAATCAACTGCAAAAACAGCTCCTCCATTTTGCCAAAAAGGTTATCGAAGCGTCCTTTCATGAAGCAAAGAAACTTCTCTGTGCATTTACGAATCTGGACAGGGCTGATCTCGCAGCCGGGGATGCCATCCAGCTTCTTCAAGATGACCTGCTCCACAGCCTGCATCACCTCAAACAGGTAGTCCTGAAACGCAATGTAGATCCTGAGCATGCACGTCTGCGGGGTGAAGCCGAAGAACTGGGCCTCGTAGGTCATCGGATCAACAGACATCGCGGCGTATCTGGTGATGTTATTTCTGATTGTTAAAGATCTGCAAATGTAAAAGGGAAATTTCACTTGGATAAAAAAAAAATCTGAGGAATGTAATAAAGTACATTACAGATAGCAAACAAAGAAAAGCTAAGGCATCTGTAGTAACAACAGCCTCTTGCCCTTCAGTAGCCTCCATCTCCACTGTTTGGCCACCTCACTAGATTATCTGTGAACACCCCTACGCCAGCCCCTGCCAACTGCTTCTCCTTCTGGCCCACGACTCTGTATGCGGTCCTTCTCACTCACACTCTCACATTACGCCCTCTGACCCTGTCACTCGTGCTCTCCCACTTCACTGCTTTCCCTATTTACTGTAGGCCCCAAGATCTATCACTTGAATCACCCCATCACCAATGTCCTGAATCCCCTTATCTTTCAATCTAATCATCTGAAAAACTCCCTATTAGATAACCTCTTGTCAGCTTTATAACCTTGACTTATTTTTTGAAAGGTCTAGGAGTCAGGGCCGGTGCTGTGGTATAGTGGGTAAAGCTGCCACCCTGCAGTGCCGGCATCCCATATGGGTGCCAGTTTGAGACACGGTTGCTCCACTTCCAATCCAGCTCTCTGCTATCGCCTGGGAAAGCAGAAGATGGTCCAAGTTCTTTGGCCCCTGCACCCATGTGGGAGACCCAGAAGAAGCTCCTGGCTCCTGGCTTTGGATCAGCACAGCTCCAGTCATTGCGGCCATCTGGGGAGTGAACCAGCAGATGGAAAACCCCCCTCTCTCTCTGCCTCTCAAATAAAATAATCTTTAAAAAAAAAAAAAAAAGTATGGGAGTCATTCCTTTCAAAAGTAAACATCTAGGGAAATATGATCCTGCCCCCCTGTCTGACCACTAGTAACCACATGGTTGTTCCCTGTAAGTATCATCTATATGCAGAATTGAGTTCGTGACCATTCCTATTTCTTGGTCCATGCTAGATACTCTTATCTCTGACCCTTCATCTCATCTCTCATCCGTAATAGGAACCTAACCTAGTGTTTTTAACACATGCCATTTCAATTAATCTTTGCCTTTAATAGCTGCTAGATGAGGCCAGCGTGTGGTGCATTAGATTAAGCAGCTGAATGCCAACATCCCATACCTGAGTGCTGGTTTGAGATCTCGCTGCTCCACTTCCAATCCAGCTCCTTCTAATGGGCCTGGGAAGGCAGTGGAAGATAGCTCAAGTGCCTGGCTTCCCTGCCATCCATTTGGGAGGCCCGGATGGCACTCCTGGCTCCTGGCTTTAGTGTGGCCCAGTCCAGCATTTGCCACCATTTGAGGAATAAGCCGCTGGATAGAAGATCTCTCTCTCTGCCTTTCAAATAAATAAATGTGTCTTTTAAAAATAGGCACTAGATGGCTGGCGCCGCAGCTCACTAGGCTATTCCTCCGCCTGCGGCACCGGCACACCAGGTTCTAGTCCCGGTTGCTCCTCTTCCAGTCCAGCTCTCTGCTGTGGCCCAGGAAGGCAGTGGAGGATGGTCCAAGTGCTTGGGCCCTGCACCTACATGGGAGACCAGGAGGAAGCACCTGACTCCTGGCTTCGGATCGATGCAGCGCACCAGCCATAGCGGCCATTTGGGGGGTGACCCAATGGAAGGAAGACCTTTCTCTCTCTCTCTCTCTCTCACTAACTCTGCTTGTCCAGAAAAAAAAAAAAAAAAAAAAAGCGCTAGATATATATTCTTGAAAAACATAGTTTTGTATATTATCTTTACATTTTCATGTTTGCAATCATTTCATGTTATAGTCAAGTTTACTTTATTGGTTCTGACCCAAGTATTCCATCCATTTTATTTATATTTTAAAATATTATTTACTGAAGAGCAGAAAGATGAGACAGACAGTTATCTCCCATCTGCTGGTTTACTCCCCAGATGTCTGAAACAGCCCATACTGGGCCAGGCCAATGCCAGGAGCCCAGTGCTCCACCTGGGTCTTCCATGTAGGTAGCAGGAACCCAAGTACTTGAGCCATCACCTGCATCTCCCAGGGTGCACATTAGCAGGAGGCTGGAATCGATGGAGCGGGGCACGGAAGCCAGGCGATGTCTTGTGGGATGAAGGCATCTCAAGGAGCATCCTACCCATCGTCAGTTTTATCATTTGCATACACCACACTTGCCTTGTGACAGACCCCTGGTCTGCCTCCGGCATCTCACCGCCAGAAAACTGTGACAAGCACTTGCGTAGGAGGTCTCCCTTGGGCCTGGCAGGGCCTTTGCACAGGCAACTGCTGGGCCACAGTTTACTGAAACACAGTTTCACTAAACATTCCTAAATGAGCGCCAGCACATCCAGACTGGCTTTACACTCACTCGCAGCACGTAAGTAAGTTTCTCTCATATCTTTGTCAGCCCTTGACAAACTCAACATTCTACCTGTTGCCAATTTGGTATGTGTGAAATTGTTGTATGTTTTCAAAAACCAAAACACCTAGCCCCACACACTGGTCGGACACTACAAACTACCTACATCTCTCTCCCCAGGCCCCCGATGTCTACACTACTCTGAGTTTACTATTCTGAGAGTAGGACAGTCTCCTTATTCAAACGGCTGGATCATTTTGAACTCCCCCAAAGACGAACCAAAGCTTCGACAGGAAGGACAATCTGCACCCTAAGATTCTCTGAAATCCTTGCCTGGCCATTTCCAACAATCCTAGACTGTTTTATCAAGCCCCTACACTGAAAGACCCACCCTTGAAGCAAACCTTCCATTTAAAAAAAAAAAAAAAATCCGATCTTGCTTTTCTTCTCTACCAGGCACGGCCGAAGCTCTGTCGAGGTTCCATCACTATTTTATCAACAAGCCGTGAGGGTGATGCTCGGGGGGGGGGGGGTTTCTCCTGGGGTCACCCCTTCACATCCTTTATAGAAACCACCCCAGCCTTCTATTTGATTCCTTTCTAAAGAGCCCGCAACCACGCCGGACAAGACCCAGAAGCCACAGGGCAGGAACCACTTCCGGCCGGAGCCCGCATCCCGTCGGGCCCCGCGGCCCCGCGGCATGCCGGGACCTTCAGGTAGGAGCTAGCGGCCAGGCCGGCGGCGAGGCGGACCCGGCAGGCCGCCCCGTCGCCCCCGCTAGGATGCCTAGTCCAGTCCCGCCCCTTTTCCGCGCTTCCTCAGAGAAAATGCAGCCCCGTGGCACCTACCGTTGCGGCCTGCAGGGCGATGAGGTCCACCAGACACCGACTTCCCGCCACCTCCTTTAAACTACCGCTAGCTGCCGGAGATGGGCGGTGGCGAGAGCTGACCCAAATGCGGACGGATGCGCGCCTCCGCGAACGAAAGCAAAGGCGGGATGCTGTCCCTCTCCTGATTGGCTGGCTGTCCGGTCGGGCAGGGGCATCCTGATTGGTGACGGAGAGGGGTCAGGCGGGAAAGCTAGCTGTGGCCAGCGGGGATTGGCAGAAGGTACCGACACTCAGTCGCTTCTCGCTGACGTCAGTGGGCGGAGAAGCAAGGCTGGGACGCCACGATTGGTAGCTGGCTGATTGCGCGGCGCTCATTGGACAGGAGCGAATAGGCTACCGCGGGCGCTAGGAGCCCGCCCCGGCGCCCGGGCCTATTGGCGGAAGGGGAAGTGGGGGGCAGGCGGCGGTGGGGAAGATGGCGTACCAGAGCCTCCGGCTGGAGTACCTGCAGATCCCACCGGTCAGCCGCGCCTACACTACCGCCTGTGTCCTCACCACCGCCGCCGTGGTGAGCAGCTGCAGAGCCACCTTCTTATTATCCGGGCTGAACATGACTGGGTCTCGCGGAAACTGGAGTTTGGGCTTCGGCAGGCCCGGAAGGGGCTGGTCCCAGGGGTGGGTGGAGGTCTACCAGGGCTTACTCTGGGTTGCGGAGCGACCCCAGGAAGATGTGCGGATCCCTGAGGGGTCGTGTCGGTTTCCGAGAGCGAAAAGTCGGACCAATAGCGGGTCAGAGCTGCGGGCGCCGCCCACCCAGGAGCTCCGGCGCTGGCCAGGTGGTAGTGTGGTGGTGACTGGTGGGACGCAGATCCGCGTAGCGAAGAAACTTAAGTATTGAGGCTAGAAAGTTGAGCATTGTAGGGAGGGAAATGTCTTAAAATAAAGAAGGGGTTGGCCGGAGGAACAGTGGCAAGGTCTCCAGGGTTGGTTATTTGCAGGCACTGCCTTGTGTCACCCAGCTGTTGGAGTTGGCGCCCGTGTGATGAGCAGATTCTTAGCAACTGCGCCCAACTGTCCTGTGTCTAAAATATCACCACCTGCCTGCCTCCCTTGTCGGCCTCAACTTGCAATCTAAAACTATTTTTTAAGACCTTCATTTGTAAATTCCTTTTCTGCCCCCTTTAAGCATTTTTATTTATTTATTTTTAATTCCAGAGACAGATATTCCATCTGCTAGTCCCCTCCTTAAATGCTGGCAACAGCCAGGGCTGGGCCAGACCAAAGCCAGGAGCCTGGATCTCAATCTGGGTCTACCACCTTGGCTGGCAGGGACCCAAGTACTTGGACCATCAGCTGCTGCCTCGCAGGGTGTACATTAACTGACAGCTGGACTCCAAAGCAGAAGCAGAACTTAAACTCAGACACTCTGATAATGGGATGTGGGTGTCTCATGTCATCTGCGGTGCCAGATGCCCACCTTGCAGTCTTTCCTTTCTAAAAAAAAAAAAAAAATTTTTTTTAAAGACTTATTTGAAAGGCAAAGTTACAGAGAGAAGGAGAAACAGAAATCTTTCACTTGCCAGTTCACTCCTCTAATGGCTGCAACAGCCGGAGCTGGGTGGGTCCAAAGCCAGGGGCCAGGAGCTTTTTCCGGGTCTCCCACTTGAGTGCAGGGGCCCAAGGACTTGGGCCATCTTCCGCTGCTTTCCCAGGCCATAGCAGAGAGCTGCATTGTAATGGAGCAGCCGGGACTCAAACCGGGGCCCACATGGGATGCCAGCGTCTCAGGTGGAGGCTTCACCTATTACAGCACAGTGTTGGCCACCGTAAGAATTCTTACTTACACCTGGTCGACCCCAGTCTTTCTAGTTTTGTATTATGTGTCAAAGAGCAAGAATTGTATCAATGTAGGGAATTCTTTACCAACCCTTTCTTCTGGCCCAAGAAGAAACACTTAAAGGAATTCAACCTGAGTGACTAAGAATTGGAATTTGTTACATCCTTTGTTATAAACGATGGAATTGTGTTTCCTGATTGACATGCTGAAAGCAGCTCTTTTTCCATTTCAGCAGTTGGAACTGATCACACCTTTTCAGTTGTACTTCAATCCTGAGTTGATTTTTAAGCATTTTCAAGTAAGTAGCCCAATGCAACTGTGAGGAATGGTCCCGTTTCTTCTCTTGCTTACTGTTTCGTAGCAAACCCTACCATATGCTGTCTCGAAAAATAACCCAGTGAAGATCTTTGACTTTAAGTCTTGTGAAGCAGCGATTCTGCAGCTTCACAGAGTCCCCTCAGGGTCACTTAGGGAACTTTTAAGAGATCCTCACACTCCTCATCGCGTAACCAAATCACAGTCAGCAAGGATAGGAACTAAAAACCTGCATGCTTGTGATGGGTCTAGCTTCTGTATTTGTGTATCGCTGGTTTACAGTTAAGTGTTAGTAGTTTGGGAGGAGTCTGATGAGTCTCATGGAGTGACCTTATTTTGTTCATTCCCTACCTTGGCACAGCCACCACTTTGGTGTTTTCGCCATGGGCCAGTTCAAAAATTGAGTTGTTAGTGCTTTAAAAAATTGATCCATTTTCCAGGGGTCAGATCATGCTAACAAAACTCCAAAGGGCCAACATCTAAAACACCATGCTAGTTTATTAGATGACGGGGGGGAGTGGATTAAAATGCTGAGCTAGACATGTGTTTTCCTGCGCTAGGATGATGATTGAGGCTGAAGTTGGAGTGGAGGAGAGGCCCAAGCGGCAGTAGTTCTGCCTGTCTACACTCTCTCCCCTTTCTCCCAAATGTGTTTCATTCCCTGTGCCCGTGCCTCTGTCTTGCCTTTCAAGGCGCATCTTTTGTGGGCCTGCTTGGATCCATTCTTTGCACTAGAGCATGTCTCACCCTTACTTGCAGTTATTCGTATGCTTGTCTCATTAGGATGAGGACCTTAAAGTCCTAGATGGAATTAATTTGTAGGACTGAGTGATTTCAACTGTAGTACTCACTAGTTCTCAAGAACTTCATGATTCGGAACGCCGTCCTGTGATCTCACGTTGTTTCCTTCCTTCAGTGCTCTCATGGCTGTTGCTGGACCTGTAGCTCTAGCCAAGCGTTGCCTCCTGCTGCCTGCTTGGCTTGGCTTTGCCTGGGGTTGAGCTCTCAATGGCACCGTGCATCTGCGTGTGAAGTTAGGAGTTCTAGATCTGAGATCAGAGTCTCCGCCTAGGAGCTGCCTGTCTTTAGGCAGGCCACTTTCAAGTTAGCCAAGTCTTTTAGTTTCCCTGTCTGTGAAATGGGGATAGTAGTACCAGCCTGCTTGTCTTACGGGAACTTAAGATCAAGTGAGATACTATACTGTGGGGGGAGCCTTAAATGCTCTACCGATGTGGGTTGTTGTAGGTATAGATGGGTTGGGTGAGGAAGGATAGGTCAGGGCTTCCACCATGAAACCACTTAGGCTCTTAACTGTTAGAGCATTCGTTCTCGACTGGGGTTGACTGTTTAGATTAGAACTTGAATGTCTGCCTTAGAATTAGTCTTTCCTCTGGATATTTCTGACTACCTAATGTAGAACATTTCTTGCGATTTATGGTGGATCTCTGAAGTTTTTCTCTGGTATCTCTAGAGTATTCATTAGACTGTGCTACAACACAGATAGAAGCACTGTTTTCTAGTCTTCAAATTAACCTAGTCTTCCCATCAAACTTCTTCCATAATTTGCCTCACCATATGGTCTGAGCTTTTTTAGAGGAAATTAAAATTTCAAATGTTCTGTCCATATAAATTTCATGATCCAAGTTATATCTTCCAGACTTTGAACTAGAGCAGCACAAAAATCCAGTGTTAGAGTATGTGCCTAGTTTTTGATTCAGAACAGACTTATTCCCCCATCTGTGGTCCTTGTGCCACCATAGTCATGGGATGTTTCTGCCATCTTAGTATAAAAATGTTTCCTGTTAATATATTTTACTTAATCCATCTTTCTCTTGATTTTTTTTAACAGATATGGAGGTTAATCACCAATTTCTTATTCTTTGGGCCCGTTGGATTCAACTTTTTATTTAACATGATTTTTCTGTATCCTTTATTAAGTGTATTTAGCATTAAAACTCCAGGCTTACTTAGGAAAATATAATAGGAAGTTGACACTACAAGTATTAATCCTGTCACTTTTTTTTTTATTCAATCCTAGCTGTAACTTCTAGGTCAGTGGTACATAGAGTTGTTGGTTAAATTGTAATGTTTGGAACATGTTTGTACCCCACTGTTCAAATGGGAAGTTTAACCTTGAAAAGATGTCATTTCTGCCCTCAAGTTGTTGACTGTTCTGATCAAGGGAGGGAGAATGGAGGCATACTTACAAAATAACAACAGGCAAAACTTGATAAGACAACCTGAATGCCGTAGAAATTGGGTTAACTTAGTGGGCACTCATTTGGGCATAGGCTCATGAGGAATGGGGAACTTGAAATCCCCCTGGATTTCGGTTACTGGCTCTACTGGCTGAAGACGCAGTGTCGTCATGTCTGCCGGGCTCGCCATGTTCTGGTCTGTCGGAAGAGAGAAGCAGCTGGGCTGTGGTGAAGTGGTTCTTGGGGCCACTGAGCAAGGACATTGCTTCTCTACCCATTGCTCGCTCTGATTAAGACAGGAGTGACAGCCCAGCTCACCTGCTGTGAACACAGGGCCTTCTAAAAGGGAGACCGTTCCTGTCCTAAGATGAGTTCCTGTGTCTCCCATGTAGCAGTCTGGTAAGTTTCTAATAAAGTGTTTTCATTGTAGTGCATCTTTACTGACCAGAGTAGAGAAATACTCAACTTGGCCTGGAACTGTAGTTTTTCACGCAGGTTTTTGGGTAAGGATGTCTTCCAAGTAAGGTGGTGGAGAAGCAAGGATGTTGTGGATTAAGGTGTGGGGAAGACGATGCAAATTTGGAAAGGGTTAGCTGGTGCCCAGGAGCGTTCTTACGCAGCCTGTGCAGTGGTTCCCTAGCTGGAGTGCTAGTCGTGAGCCTGCCCAGAAGGCCTGGTAGGGAGTGATCCCGTTCCCAAGCATTCTTACAGAAGGGAAGGCCTGACTTCGTACAGATAATGTGGAACCTAACTGTACGTAAGTGATACCTTTTATTTTCTTCATATTTGTGTGCTTACCATTTTCTTAACTTGGAACTTAAGATATCGTTACTGTCGAATGCTAGAAGAAGGCTCATTCCGAGGCCGGACAGCAGACTTTGTATTTATGTTCCTTTTTGGTGGATTCTTAATGACTGTATCCTTCAACAGAACAGATGCGGCAAATGTTCAGGAACTCCCTGTGTCGTCTTAAAGCTTTTCATCTGTCTCCCATGATTCACCAGCTCTTTCGAACAAAGCGATAAAAGTAGACCTCCAGATTTTAGCTTCTGGGCACTGCCATTTATTTTACAGCGTGCTTTCTGCAACAGCTTGCCAAGCCTAGAGGTTGGACAGGATGCTTTTCTTTTTTCTTTTCTTGCTTTCTTTCTTTGTTTTAAAGATTTATTTTATTTATTTGAAAAGTAGAGTTACAGAGCAGAGGGTAGCTACAGAGAGAGATCTTCTATCCGCTGGTTCATTCCCCAAAAAGCCACAACAGACGATTCTGGGCCAGGCCAGAACCAGGAGCTTCATGTAGCTCTCCCACGTGGGTGCAGGGGCCCAAGGACGTGGGTCATCTTCTGTTTCCCCAGGTGCATTAGCAGGGAGCTGGGTTAGAAGTAGAGTAGCCGGGACTGGACCTGTTGCCCTTATGGGATGCTGGCACTGCAGGTGGTGGCTTAACCCACTATGCCACACAACACTGGTCCCACAGGATGCTTTTCTCCTCTGAGCGAAAAGCAGAGGAACTTTAACCCAGGTGGGTTACTGTTAAGCATCTCAGTCGTATCATTGTTGAGTGTCTTTCACTTTTAAACCAGATTGCTAGAACATTTCGTCTTCATAAGAACTGATAATTTTTTTTTTTTAAAGTCTGCTCTGTTGAACAGACGTGAACAGACGTGGACGGAGTCCTGTCTGAAAAGACAGTTTTGTGCCATTTGGCTTCATTCACCTGTAAAGGTGCTGATTGATGGTGAGTATGCTTTGGTGTAATTACTGGCCCAGAAATCAACACATTTTCCAAAGAGGCAAGAACTTCACCAAAGCAGAATGTGGATTTGGAGTAGCTGAAATCCAGACTATTCAGCCCAAGCAGGCAGGTTTTTGCATGACAGTTGTGGGTAATTATTTTTAGGCTTTTTTTTTTCTTTCTTTCTTTTCTGAAGATGTAACTGCTTGGCTTTTCCAATTCAGACTTTGCTTAGAGCACAGTTTTTGGTTCTCTTGTCCAGTCTTCCCTACTATACTGTGAGTGTTGGTGTTTTCCTTAATGCCACTCGCTAGCTTTTTGGTTTGTTTGTGAGCTTAGTTTTCCTGGGCCAGGCCTTCACGATAATGCTGGTCTACGTGTGGAGCCGAAGGAACCCGTATGTCCGCATGAACTTCTTTGGCCTTCTCAACTTCCAGGCCCCCTTTCTGCCCTGGGTGCTCATGGGGTTTTCCTTGTTGTTGGGGAACTCGATCATTGTGGACCTCTTGGGTAAGAGTCTTACCGCTATTTCTGTTATTTGACCTGTAAGATTATTTTGTCACTATTTTCCATGTTTATTCTGTTTGGCCTCACGTACAGCCATTGCAAGATTGTTTAATAGTTGCATTTCAAAGACTGCAATATTGGCTCATTAACCTTTAGTAATCACATTTGTTCTAAGCGTAAGCAGTTTCTATTGGTAGGCCCACCTGCGAATGAATTTTAATCCCTTGCCTCATCCTTGATTTTTCGCTGACTCTAGGTATTGCAGTTGGACACATATATTTTTTCTTGGAAGATGTGTTTCCCAATCAGCCTGGTGGAATAAGAATTCTGAAAACACCATCTATTTTGTGAGTATTTACCAACAGATTACGTGTTCCTTGCAGACCAACCAGGACAGGGCCCATGACCTGCATTTTCTTGGGGCTCCCAAGGCTCCTGGTACACAGGTCAGTAAATATTTGCACATTGAGCAATCAGCTGCATTGGTGGAGCATTTGCACTGGGCAGGAGCAGTCTCTGCCAGGGCATGGCAAGAGCAAGGGGAACAAGCTCAGGGTGTCACGGTGGGTGGCTCGGTAATCGCTGTCCTGATGACCAGAAACTCCTGGCTTTAGGAAAGCTGCTGTTCAAAAGGTGACATGGCAACATGAGCACAGCTGACTAGAGAAGTTTCTGGTGGTGGGATTTCTCGCCTGCCAAGCAGGCATTTCCAAGTAGAGCGGCAATGGCTTCGTTCCGCCGAGCAGCCACATGATTTTTAAGCCAGTCTCTTCTCCTTTTTTGCGTTTCAGTTGCTTCAGTAGAGTTTTGATCACTAGGACCTTTCTGAATTCGGTGTCCTTGGGAGACACTACATTGGAAGGGGCTCACTTTGTGGGGGAGAGTTTTCATTATAGAGAGTTTGTTGCAGAATGAAGAGGTAAAATCATCCATAGATAATCCCACTATTCAGACATAGCATACTTTTTTATTTAAGATTTATTTTATTTATTTGAGAGGCAGAGTTAAAGGGAGAGGCAGAGAGAGAGAGAGCAGTCTTCCATCCATTTATTCACTCCCCAACTGGCTGCAATGGCCAAGGCTGGGCTGGGTCAGAAAAGACTGAACCAAAGCCAGGAGCTGCTTCTGCATGGGTTGAAGGATTTGGGCCATTTTCCACTGTATTCCTAGGCTCATTAGCAGGGAGCTGGACTAGCCTGGACTTGAACCAGCACCCATGGGATGCTGGTGTCACAGACAGTGGCTTTACCTGCTACCTGCTATGCCGGCCCCCACTGTTAACTTTTTCTTTCTTTCTTTCTTTTTTTTTTTTTTTTAATTTATTTATTTCCTTGAAAGTCAGAGTTACACAGAGAGATGAGAGACAGAGACAGAGAGACAGAGAGAGAGATCTTGCATCCGCTGGTTCACTCCCCAATTGGCTGCAACGGCCAGGAGCTGCGCCGATCAGGAGCCAGGAGCTTCCTCCAGGTCTCCCGTGTGGGTGCAGGGGCACAAGACCTGGGCATCTTCTGCTGCCTTCCCAGGCCACAGCAGAGAGCTGGATCGGAAGTGGAGCAGCCAGAACTCAAACTGTTGTCCATATGTGGTGCTGGCACTGCAGGTGGCAGCTTTACCTGCTACGCCGCAGTGTGGGACCGTGCTCTACTTCTGATCCGGCTCCTTGCTAATGCACCTGGGCAAAGCAGCAGCAGATGGCCCAAGTGCTTGGGCCCCTGCACCCATGTGGAAGACCCAGATAAAACTTCTGACTTCTGCCTGGCCCGGCTGTTGTGGCCATTTGGGGAGTGAACCAGAGGGTGGAAGATCTTTATCTTTCTGTCTCTTCTCTCTTTCTCTTAATTTCCCTTTCAAATAAAATAAATAAATCTTTTAAAAAAATTTTAATTATTTGAAAGAGTTAGAGAGAAGTCCTCCATCTGATGGTTCACTCCCTAACTGGTCTCAAGGGGTGGCACTAGGCCAGACTGAAGCCAGAATCCTGTAACTCCATCCCGGTCTCCTATGTGGGTGCAGGGGCCCAAGGACTTAGACCATCTTCTGCTGCTTTCTCAGGGAGCTGCATTGGAATTAGAGCAGCTGAGACTTGAACCAGCACCCATATGGGATGCCAGCATTGCAGGCCATGGCTTACCCTGCTGTATCACAACTCCGGCCATGACACTGGATGCTAACTGCGGCCTCTTAGCACAGGGTTTTGATTTGTCATTTGTCAGCGGTGGTAATTATTTGATTGACTGATTAAGGCATCTGCCGGTCTTCACCATAGAGTTGCTCTTGTTCCCTTTGTACCTGTTGAGAGGGTACTTTGAAACTGTATAAATAACTCTTTCCGTACCCAATTTCAATTCATTTAAATTTGCCTGGATTCTTGGTTTTTATATTTTATTTATGGATTACAACCCCTTGTTGTCATTGTTTGGATGTTCATATTATCCCAGATTGGGCCAATGGGAACCACTTCAAACTGTCCCTACTCCATTTCAAGACGTCCCTACCATTATTATTTTTTTAGTAATTTATTACTTATTTTTAAGTATGTTTATTTGTGAGAGAGAGAGACAGAAAAACAGGGATCTCTAATATCACTGTTTTACTCTCCAAGTGCCCACAGTGCTGGGCATTGGTCAGGCTGAAGCTAAGTACTACAAACTCAATCGAGCCTCCCCTGTGGGTGCCAATAAGGACCTAACTACTGAGCCATCACTACCCCCAGCTCATCCTGTACTCTCCTTGTCCCAGTCGTAGCATCAGCTGCTTATTCTAGAAGCCCTGGTTGCTTTTTAGTGTAGAATGGTATTTAAAAGCCAAGGATTGGGTGCTAGATAATGCTTATTGCTGTTGGAGTGTTAAAATTCCCGGATCATCTCAGTGAACAGAGCAGTGGAATTGTGTGTGTGTATGTGTGTACATTTTTATTGTTAGGTCTCTAATGTTTTAAATTTTTTTTTTTTTTTTAAATTTTTGACAGGCAGAGTGGACAGTGAGAGAGAGAGAGAGAGAGAAAGGTCTTCCTTTACCATTGGTTCACCCTCCAATGGCCGCTGCAGCCAGTGCTCTGCGGCCGGCGCACCGCGCTGATCCTTAGCCGGGAGCCATGTGCTTCTCCTGGTCTCCCATGGGGTGCAAGGCCCAAGCACTTGGGCCATCCTCCACTGCACTCCCGGACCACAGCAGAGAGCTGGACTGGAAGAGGAGCAACCGGGACAGAATCTGGCGCCCCGACCGGGACTAGAACCCGGTGTGCTGGCGCCGCAAGGCGGAGGATTAGCCTAGTGAGCTGTGGCGCTGGCCAGGTCTCTCTAATTTTAAAAACATAAATTCTTACTGATATTGCCAGTTCTAATATGAAAGGTCTTGGGGCTGGCGCTGTGGCATAATGGATAAAGCCACCACTTGTAGTGCCTGCATCCCACATGGGCACTGGTTCAATTCTTGGCTGCTCCACTTCTGATCCAGCCTCTGCTAATGGCCCAAGTGCTTGAGCCCTGATCCATGTAGAATAGGAAGAAACCCCTGGTGGTCTGGCCCAGTCCTGGTTGTTACAGCCATCTGGGGAGTGAACCAGTGGATGGAAGATCTCTCTCTCTTTCCCTCTCTCTCTGTAACTCTGCCTTTCAAATAAATAAAATAAATTAAGGGCTGGCACTGTGGCGCAGCGGGTTAACACCCTGGCCTGAAACACCAGCATCCCATATGGGCACCTGTTTGAGACCTGGCTGCTCCACTTCCAATCCAGCTCTCTGCTATTACCTAGGAAAGCAGTGGAAGATGTCCCAGGTCCTTGGGCCCCTGCACCCACGTGGGAAACTTGGAAGAAGCTCCTGGCTCTTGGCTTCTGATCAGCGCAGCTCCGGCCATTGCGGCCAATTGGGGAGTGAACCAGCAGATGGAAGACCTCTCTCTCTCTGTCTCTCTGTCTCTGTCTCTCCTCTCTCTGTGTAACTCTGACTTTCAAATAAATAAATAATTAAATCTTTAAACATTAATTAAATAAATTTTAAAAACTAACATGAAAGATCTTCAGAAAGTTTATGGGAAGTGATTATGAGAAAACTATGCCTTGATTTCACTGTTTTTTTTTTTTTTTTTTCCTTTAAATGTGTTTATTTAAAAGGCAGAGATACAGAGAATGAGAGGAGAGAGAAAGAGACAGAGCTTTCATCTGCTGGTTTACTCCCCAGATGGCTGCAAAGGCCAGTGCTGGGCCAGGCTGAAGCCAGGAGCTTCTTCTGGGTCTCCCACATGGGTGCAGGGCCCTAGTACTTGGGCCATCTTCCACTGCTTTCTCTGGTGCATTAGCGGGGAGCTGGATCAGAAGTGCAGCAGCTGAACCTTGAACCTGCACCCATGTTAGATACTTTCTCTACAGGCAGTTGCTTAACCTTCTATGCCACAGCACCAGCCCCTGATTTCTCTGTTTTTTGTACCAAAGTAAATTTACCTTTTAAGTTCATTTTTCCACAGAATTTTGAAGTACCTTTTGTACAACTTCACATAGTTCATTCTAGTTTTTCCCTCAAATATTTTACTATGAAAAATTCCAAACTTACGGAAACTCAGAAAAAATTGTTCAGTGAACATCATTTACCCATGATGGGATATCTACAGTTAACATTTTACTGTTCTTGCTTTTTACATATCAGTCCTTCATCCAGCTTTCTAATCTGGTGTGCTCAGATTCTCTGTTTACTTTAGCATGTCATCGTTAACTATAATTCATATTTATAATACATAAACCTTTTTTAAAAAACATAGATTTATTTATTTAGTTATTTGAAAGGCAGAAAGAGGAAGAGACAAGAGATCAGACATCTGTTGGTTCACTCTCCAAATGGCTGCACTGGCTAGGGCTGGGCCAGGCCAAAGCCAGGAACCATGAACTCCATCCTGGTCTCTACATGGGTGTAAGAACCCAAGCACTTCCCAGGCACATTTGCAGGGAGCTGAATCAGAAGTGGAGCAGCAGCCCATGTGGGATGCCTGCACCACAGGTGGCGGCTTTACCTGCTACACCATGGTGCCAGGCCCAGTAAATCCCCTTTTAAACTCTTGTATATAGAAGTTTTCAGGGGCTGGTGCTGTGGCATAGTGGGTAAAGCTGCTGCCTGCAGTACTGGCATCCCATATGGGCACCAGTTTGAGTCTTGGCTGCTCCACTTCCGATCCATCTCCCTGCCAATGCACCTGGGAAAACAGTGGAAGGTGGCCCAAGTGCTTGGGCCCCGGCATCCTCATGGGAGATCTGGAAGAAGCTCTTGGCTTCGGATTGGCCCAGCTCAGACTGTTGTAGCCATTTGGGGAGTGAACCAGCAGTTGGAAGATCTCTTCCCCCACCCACACCCTGTAACCCTGCCTTTCAAATAAATAAATAAATCTTTAAGGAAAAAAAATGTTTTCAAGGCTGGCATTGTGGTATACTGGGTTCAGCATCCTGTATTGGTGCCAGTTTGAGCTCTAGCTGCTCCACTTCTGATCCAGCTCTTTGCTAATGCACCTGGGAAAGCAGCAGAGGATGGCCCAAGCGCTTGGGCCCCTGAACCCACAGTGGAGACCCGGATGAAGCTCCGGGCCATTTGGGGAGTGAACCAGCAGATAGAAAATTTCTGTCTCTTCCCCTCTCTAATTCTGCCTTTCAAATAAATAAATCTTTTTTTTTAATTTCAAATACATTTCTAATGTTATCAACTGTTGACATTAGGATTCTATATGAGTGCAAATAGAAGATACTGTTTAATGGGTCATTCTTTAATTAGATTATGAATTACTATGTAATATACGTGTTTAAAAAGTCTTGGATATTTACTATCCCTTCTTATGTTCTTTTAAAGATTTATTTATTTATTTGAAAGCAGAGTGACAGAGAAAATCTTTGGTCTGCTGGTTCACTCCCCCGATGGCTGGAACAGCCGGGGCTAATCTAGGCTGAAGCCAGGAGCCTGGGATGCCATTTGAATCTCCTCTGAGGATGGAAGGTGCTCAGGCACTTGGGCCATCCTCCACTGCTTTCCTGGGCTCACTTCCAGTGAGCTGGATCAGGAGCAGAGTGGCCAGGACTTGAACAGGCACTCTGATGTGGGATGCCAGCATCATAAGTGGCAGATAACCCACTGCACCAAAAGAGTGGCTCCCCTCTTAACCATTTGTAAATGTGCAGCTCTGGGGCACTAAGTACATTCACACTGTTGTGCTACCATGACCACCATCCATACAAGTCTTTTTTTTTTTTTTTTAAGAGAGAGATTTATTTATTTGAAAGAGAGCGAAAGAGGTCTTCCATCCACTGGTTCACTCCCCACATGGCCACAGTGGATAGCTGGGACAATCCAGAGCCAGGAGCCTCTTCCGGGTCTCCCACACTGGTGCAGGGGCCCAAGGACTTTGGCTATCTTCCACTGCTTTCCCAGGCCATCAGCAGGGAACTGAATTGGAATTAGAGTAGCCAGGACTTAAACTGGCGCCCATATGGGAATCCAGTGCAGCAGGGGGTAGCTTTATCCACTACACTACAGCATGAGCCCTGAAGTCTTTTTAATCTTGCAAAACAAGCTCTGTACCCATTATACAGTTTCCCACTTCTCCTTCCTTCAAGTCCCTGGCAAGCATCCTACTTTTTGTTATGATTCTGACTACTTAGGTACTTCATGTGAACAGAATCATACAATATTTGTGACTGGCTTGTTTCATTTAGCATAATGTCACCAGGGGTCTTCCATGCTGTAGTATGAGTCAAAATTCCCTATTTTGTTAGGCTGAATAATACTACATTATTTGTGTGTACCACATTCTGTGTATCCATCTATTGATGGACACTTGGGTGATACCTTGGCCATGAGGAGACGTTTATGATAAATTCCATGAAAGGCGGGTTACAAAGCAAGTCATGTGATCTAACTTTTGCAAAATTACCAGTCATTTAATTATCCTAAAATAATTAAAGCAATACTAGTTATCTTTGGAGATTTAGGATATTCTGTTCATACTTATTTATTCTTTTCTCTATGATTAACATGTGTTGCTTTTGTAGTTAAAATTGGTAAAGGAGGTAAAAGTGAATACAAATGTTAAATAATGAGGGATGACTGATTGGCAGAGGGTATTATGCTTGTCCATTGCTGGAAGCCCAGCTGACCTTGTGTTGCCAGGACCTGAGATGACTCTGCGACTAAACTGTGTCTGTCACCTGTCTTTTAGGAAGGCTATTTTTGATACACCAGATGAGGATCCAAATTACAATCCCCTACCTGAAGAGCGGCCAGGAGGCTTCGCCTGGGGTGAGGGCCAGCGCCTTGGAGGTTAAAGCAGTGCCAATAACGACACCCAGCTGGGGAGAACTCAGTGAATCACCCATTGGGATTCTTTTATCCTTTGTTGCAAAAGTGTGGACACTTTTGACAGCTGTGACAGATTTTAACTCCAGAAGCACTTTATGAAATGGTACACTGACTAATCCAGAAGACATTTCCAGCAGCCTGCCAGTGGTTCCTCACTACACTGGTACTGAAAGTGTAATCTCTTGGAGCCAAAAAACTGGAGAAACAAGTATCCTGCAGCCTCTGTCAAGTACATGAGTACTTAAGTTCTATGGTATAAGGCAGGGCTTTTGCTTCCTCCTCCTCTTTGATAGACGAGGCCACGGTGTAAATGGAAGTTTCAGAGAGGACAAAATAAAACTGAATTCCATCTCTCTCTCGCTGTATTAAAGCTTTTGTGTGTGATCTTTTAAATTACGGCAGTGTATTCTAGCTCTCGTGCACAGATCAGAGCTGAGAACAGTTTCCACGCCTGCTTTCCTGTGTCTGCACAGCTTTCGACTGGATTTCATGCGAAGATTGGAAACTACATGGCTGTTACGCTGTGGCTGTGGCCATCTTATTCAGAATGCTAACTTAAGTAGGAAGAAGATGTCCTTCTGTCATCCAGATAGTTTGTCCTCCATCTGGGTCTCTGTAAAACTCCAGGTTGTCAGGTCTGAGGGTGAAGGTGTTGGGGTGGAACTCGACTGTAGAGTCAGCAGCCAGCAGAGAGCTAATGTGACATCTTTTTTACTCTGCTCACGTTTCTCTACTAAAAGATATCGAGGGAAAGACCAGTAATAGCCACAGATTTGGAAAACTAAAGGATTTTCGTTAGAGTCAGAACGCATGTTAGAATGTTGACTTTGGAGCCAGATGAACAGGTACTAGTTAGGCAGGCGTGTGTTCTGCCTGCATCTTTGGCTGGTTAACAGTTGTCATTTGTTTCGTGAGAAACTTTCCAGAGCCTAGTGCCGGGGTTTACCTTCCCAATCAAGGGGAAATTTTACAGGGTCCCTCAACGAATAGCCACTTAATGCCTGTGGTTCAGTAAACACTTGTCCAAAATACTGGGTCTCCACAGGTTTTCATTCACACTGCTTGAAGTAATTCAGAACATGGGAAAGTTAGAAGACCCCTAAGAAAAGACTTCAGATACTTTCATTAAATGTAGGCATGGGACCTTTTCCCAAAACAGGATTTTCACCGGTTGTTCCATCTTGGTTAAGGAGTAGCTTTCTCTAGTGTGACATTCTCAGAGTGAGTGATACAGGTTTAGATTGAGCGTACTAACCGTCCTAAATGGGAATGTTCAGATTGTTTTTATAGTGAGAAGCATTTTAAAGTCTTTAGATATAATTGGAATTTGTGTAAGTAATAGAAGTTAATGTATGCATTTTACATGTCACCAGTAAGTGACTTTGAACATGATGGTTGCAATCTTAAGGAACTTATGTTAATGAGACTGCTTTTTTTTTCCTAAGTGGTTAAAAAGCTTTTTTTTTTTTTTTTGAAATTTAAATGCCATTCTTAGAATGTATAATCCTTAGGATATTATTAAGTTTAATCATGTCTTGTTTCTGTTCAAGAAAGCTTTATCAGTGATTTTTATTAGAAGTTTTATTTTTGTTTATTGTTTTTGGCCTCTAAATGGATTTCTTTAGCTTTATTTGTTCTCTTTGAGTTAGCCAGTTAATAGAATTTTTGTGGTGAAATTTTAATCCCGATATCTCTTCACTGCTTATTTAAATAGGGAGTATCTATGTATGTTAGTGACTGGATTAAACAGGGAACACACTTTGAATGTATAACCTAAAGATAGGCAGGCATGGAATTTTGATTTCTCTGGTTTTATAGGATGTGTATTCCTAGCGGCAAGGTGCCATGCTACACTACAACACTGTGTCCTAGGCAGTGAGAATTTCGGTCACTGGCCTCTTTTCCCAGTCCTGCTACCACCACCTCTGGCCCTGTGTTGTGTGATGGGATTCCTATGCTTACCTGGACCCATGGAAGAGTCCTCGCGTCCCCAGCTTGCCTCTTGAGTCTTCCAGAACACACCTCATTCTCATAACGCAAATCAACTGAAAAGCGAAGTCTGATACGTGGAACTGTGTGACCAAGGAACTTTACAAGTAATTTGAGGAATTCCTGGATTCTACCAGTAATACTGAAAAGCACACCTTACTGAGGCATTGTTTTCTGTTCTTCCAGGGTGATACGTTCATTGAAAAATAAATGGACGTGCAAATTGCATCTCCCTGGGAGATAACCTTTCATGGACATTTTGTTGTGATTTCCACCGGGGTTTCTATTCCTCTCTTCCACCTGTTCTGTTTCTGTGTCACTCCGGGATATCCTAGTATCTTTAACACCTCTCGTGTAGCTTCTTGAAGCAGAGAGCTCAAGTGCTGGATCTTGGCAATGAAACCATCACTGTGTCTCTGGGGCCTCTGAATATTTACTGGCACCATTGCCGTGTTGGGTAACAGGCTCCCTAAAATTGGCACCCCTCCTGCCAGTGTTTCATGTTGTGGCTGTGTTTTCCTTTAACAGATGGGTTTCCTCTGTGTTGCTAGTCCAGATCCACTGTTTCCAGCATCACACAAGGTGCCCTTAAGCGACTTACGTATTTTATGAGTTTGCATTGAAGCTGTTGAGCCTTTTACGATTCAGTCACTTGTAAGTTCAGAAATCCACACCAATTTCTTAGCAAGCCCTTATATACAGTGTGTGCTTTCTGTCATCCTCTGAACCTTACTCCCACTTCTATCTGACAGAGACCTCAATTTCAGACTTTTTTTTTTTTTTGGTTTTTGTCCTTTAAGACCTGACCTTGTCCATGATTCCTCAAGGACTCTTGACTGTGAGGCCTATTTCACTGTCTTTGAATCCCTCTCAGTTTCAAGTCTGTATGGCATACTCTTACACCAAATTATATATTGTCATGTCCTGTTCCCAGCTGGTACGTGTATATTAGTCTTGTTTCTCTCATGAGAATGTAAGCTCCTTAAGGGCAGGGACCATGTCTTAAAGTTTTGTATCCACCACAGTGCCTCGCACAGTGCTTGGCACAAGGGTGCTGAATAAATACTTTGTTTATTAGCAAGCTGCTATCTGGTATTTTTAATTGCAGAGTGGTTAATGTGTATGCAAACAAGTCTGTGCATAGGTCCTGAGGCTTTCTGCGACCGACACTGGAAGTGCAGTGAAGCACAGCCGCATGATCAAGGGCAGGGCCTTGTGGTGAGACAAGCCAAGGTGACCACCAGCTGCATGGTACTGAATCCACAGGCAGCTCCCAGACGCCAATGGAAGCCGTCTGACACTTCACCTTTTGATGGAAGAACCAGCATATTCTTTGAGTAGTTATCACTATCAGCTTTTGGATATGAAAGCTGTTGAGTCACAAGAGACTTCTTTAGGACAGACAGCAGATTTCAGACTCAGGGCTGCCTGGCAGGATGCTGTTGTTTGCACTTTAATTTTCCAACTGTGCTCCACTTAGCTTTGAGCCTGTAGAACGGCTGTGTCACTGGGCCAGAGATTGTGAATGGGTTTCCTGCCCATGTACTTTGTTTTGCCTGGATGGTATTTTTTTTTTAAGGATTTTTGAGACAGTATGTACAACTGGCAATTTTCACATGAAAATCTTCATTTTTGGCTTTTCTTCAAATATCTGGAATATTGGGTGATCACAGGTATGTGTGACAGCCATTGCTTAGAAATGGCTGGTGGCTGCTACTAGAGATGATGCTGTCACTCCTTGATATCATTGACCTGGATTCTTAAGAATAATTTGGAAGATGACCCCCCTCCCCCAATTAGGTCACTCTGGAGAGCACATTCAGGAAAAGGATTGAAATGCAACTTTCATTAGTTAAGGTCTGTAACCTGAGGGTTAACATTTATTTTCCCTTGTAGTTTTAAGTTGCCTTTTTTTTTTTAAGTATTTATTTATTTGAAAGAGTTACACACAGAAAGAGAGGCAGAGAGAGAGAGAGAGAGAGGTTTTCCATCCATTGTTTTACTCCCCAATTGGCTGCGATGGCTGTAGCTGTGCCAATCTGAAGCCAGGAGCCAGGAGCTTCCTCCAGGTCTTCCCACACAGATGAAGGGGCCCAAGGACTTGTTGCTATCTTCCCAGGCCACAGCAGAGAGCTGGATCGGAGAGCAGCAGGGACATGAACCGGCACCTATATGGGATGCTGGCTCTGCAGTTGGTGACTTTACCCACTACGCCACAGTGCTGGTCCCTAGGTTGTCTTTCTAAGCTAGTATTTAGGGTAGAAAGCAAATCTTTTTTATTTTCATTTTCATTTAATTTTAAAGGCAGAGAGATACCATTCATCTTCTTGTTTACTTCCCAGATGCCTAAAACAGCCAGGGCTGAATCAGGCTGAAAGCAGGAACCTTAAACTCATTCCAGATATCCCACATGGGTGGCAGAGACCCAAGTATTGAGCCTCCATCTGCTGCCTCCTAGAGTGCTCATTAGCAGGAAACGAGAATCAGGAGCAGAGGAGCCGGGACTCCAGCGAGGCACCCTGGTAGGGGATGTGGAGTCCTGAGAAGCACTCTTGCTGTGTCAGACACCCACCCCAGGAGGCAAAAATTTGTCAGTTCTTATACATATATCTGTTATTGGTTCAACACGCACATTTTCAGTAACCTCTGGTCACTAGACTCAGCAACTGGATGAAAGGGGAAGAAGGACTTTTTAAAGTTTTGTTTATTAATTTGAAAGAGTTACACAGAGAGAGAAGGAGAGGCAGATATAGAAAGGTCTTCCATCCACTGATTCACTCCCCCAATTAGCTGCAATGGCTGGAGCTGCACTGATCCGAAGCCAGGAGCCAGGAGCTTCTTCCAGGTTTCCCATGAGGGTTCAGGGGCCCAAGGACTTGGGCCATCTTCCACTGCTTTTCCAGACCATAACAGCTGGATTGAAAGTGGAGCAGCCAGGACTCAAACCAGTGCCCAAACGGGATGCTGGCACTGTAGGCAGTGGCTTTACCTGCTATGCCAGAGCACCGGCTCTGAAGGAGGACTTAACAGATTCATATACAGAGTGATTTTCATAGAAATGAACTTCAGAAGATGTTCCTCACTGTGGTATATTCTTTGGAGATCATAGTTCCTATATGCAGAGAAAACTGTCTTTGTGGTGAATTAGCAATGAACTAAGAGCTCTAATTCAGGCGTTCTGTGTGGAAGATGGGGCTGGAGAGGCGTGAACTCCAGAGTCCAGCAGGAATGGTTGGGAAAGGGAAGGGTAAAAGACAATTTTAGTTCATTGAACTCCCTCTTTCCCTGCTTGTGTTACTGGAGCATACCTGTGTCTATTGGGATAGTTACTTTCTGGGAAAAATACAGATTGTTATGGAATCAAAGACTTGAGGGCTGATGTTGTGGTGCACTGGATTAAGCCACAGCTTGCAATGCCAGCATCCCTTATCTGAGTGCTGGATGAAGTCCTGGCTACTCTCCTTCAGATCCAGTTCCTTGTTAATGTGCCTGGGAAGCCAGTGGAAGATAGCCCAACTACTTGGGCCCCCAACATCCACGTGGGAGACTGGGATGGAGTTCCTGGCTCCTGACCCAGCCCTGATTGTTTTGGTCATTTGGTGAATAACTTAGTAAATGGGAGATATCCACCATCATTGCCCTCCCTCCATCCTTCTGCTCTGCCTTTCAAATACATTTAAAAAAATCATATCCAACTCCCTACAGTTGTGCCTGGGAGAGCAGCAGAGGATGGCCCAAGTACTTGGTCACTTACCACGCATGTGAGAGATGTGGATGGTATTCCTAGGGGCTTTGCCCTGGCCCAGCCTTGGCTATTGTGGCCATTTGGCTTGTGAACCATCGGTGGAGCCATCTCTCTTTCCCTACTCCCCTCTTCCCTTTCCCCCTCTTATCCCTCTGCCTTCCAAATAAGCAAAACTTTTTTTTAAAATTCGTAAAAGTTAAGTTCCCCTCTGTAACACAACATGATTACCACTCTTTTAAAAATTAAGGTTTTGTGACATCTGAATTATTTTAAACTCATAAAACTTTCTCTATCCATAAATTTGGAATTACAGTATTTGCTTTTAACTCCTACATTTTGCTTCAAGAGTTAAATATGCACGTTTGTGTTCTTCATTGATTCTATAGAATTAAATACTTTCCTTGAAGAGCATCGTGCACAGAGAAGGGGAAACGCGTTTTCACTGGAAAGACTTGATGTTTCTAGAACAAAATAATCAATGCGAAAACTAAAGGTTTCACGGAACCATAATGCTGCCTTTCCTGTTGCTGCTCCGGGCCCCTTTCCGGTTGTACCTCAGGCCTAGCTCTCCGCGTCCCCAGGAAGTGCAAGCCTTCTTGAGACCCCAAGGCATGCCGGGAGTTGCAGTAGGGCCGGCCGTGAGGTCATCAGTGGTCGCCGGGAGTCGCCAGCACGTGGCGAGGAAGGGGTGGTGCCGGCTTGCTGTCAGCGCCCGCTACCGGCAGCGGCCGCCCGCGCTCGCGCCTCCCGCCTCCCGCCTCCCGCCTCCCGCCTCCCGCCGCGGCGCCCTCCCGACATGCCGGAGGAGGCGGGCTTCCCGCCGGCCAAGAGATTCCGGCCGGCCTCTGGGCCTCCGAGCCGCCCCGGGTCCTACCCTCCCGGGAGGCGAGTGGTGATGCTGCTGGCTGCGGGCGGCAAAGGCGGAGGAGGGGGCCGGAGGCAGCCGCCGCCCCTGGCCCAGCCCTCGGCCAGCCCCTACCGCGAGGCCGTGGAGCTGCAGCGCCGGAGTCTGCCCATCTTCCAGGCGCGGGGGCAGCTGTTAGCCCAGCTCCGCAACCTGGACTGCGCCGTCCTCATCGGTGAGTGGCCGCGCCGGCGGCCCGTCATCGCTCTCCCGTTCTTGGCTTTCTCGTTAGGAGCCTCTCATCTGGTCTTATTTGTATCTTCAACGAACTTGAACGCCTTATCTGTGCCAGGCCTGGAGAGGGACCTGGGAGAAGCAGCGTCAGGCCGTCTGGCCTGGGAGGCGCTGACAGCCCAGTGGGAGTGACCGACCTGTAGACAGGACTCGCCTCCTGCGTGAGAGGCCAGAGCGCTGTGCAGGAAGCTCGGAAGGGGTGGATCCGACCCGTCTGAGGAGGCGGCCAGGGAGGTGGTCCCGGTGGTCCCATGCAGAGGGCAGGGCCCGCCTGCGTGGCTGGAGACCTTGAGCAGCCACGGGAAACAGTAGTTCCCGGTGCATAAAGAAAGAGGCAGAGGTGTAGGGCAGGGACTGAAGTCAGGGGGCTTTGATCCCTAACGTTTCAGTAAGGGGCAGAGAGAGGATGGAGACCCAGCAGTGCAGTGGAGAGTGGCGAGGAGGGAGGGAGCAGCTGCCACACTGAAGTCCAGCAATACGTGGACGCTCCCCAGGCTCCCTACCCACTCACCCACCCGGCCCAGAAGCTCCTGGATTTGAATGTGAGAGCTGTCTCAGCAGAGCGTGGAGTAAGAGTGGCTTTGTCATTGAGCTGAGAGGCAGGAGGTGAGAGAATGAGGACGCTGAGAGCGGCCTTCTGCGTCCAGAAAGGGGAGGAGGACCTGGAGGAACGGGCAGCGTTCACAGGCTGGAGAACTCTGCGGCTCGGGAAGAAGAGGAAGAGCAAAGATGAGGACGCGCAGGGGGAGGCAGGCCCTTGGCAGCAAGGCTGAGCTTAGAGCTGGGCTGGGAAAGCAGGCAGTTTGAGAGGCTGCGGGGTGGACGAAGGAGGGGGAATGGCATGAGTGCAGAAGAGCTGGTGGGGGAAGTAGCAGATCAGGAGGACTTTTCCCATGAGACAAGGGCAGACGCTCTTGAGTAGGGGTGCCAGGGCTCCAGGCAGGCCTTGGAGGGGACGGAGATAGGAGACAAGAACAAGGCCACTGGGCACGTCCGTCCATGTGCAGGTGCACATGGCCCCGTCTGCACATCGGGCTCTGTTGCTTTAGCAGTGCTTAGTCGTCCTGACATCAGAGCAGGAAAGATGGGCAGAGAGACACGGACCCAAATGTAGAGTTCCGCCTGGTGGATTCAGCAGGGAGATTGCAGAATAATCAAACCCTGAGCCTGCCGTTCTTGGCTGGGTCAGGAGAATGAACGTTTAGAGGGGGCTGAAGGACTGGGAGAGAGTGAGGGGTAACAGGCCCCAGGACTCTGAGGGCAGAGGGGAGTAGCGGTAGCAAGGGTGGTGAACAGTGCAGGGTTGACGGAGCTTTGTTCTCATGAGGCACTGTTGAAGGAATCCCTGGAGGGTAGGGGGTCACGGTTACTGGGTGCCCACTCGGTGCAGCTGCTCAAGTCCATGGGGAAGACAGACGGCCCTCTCTGTTCCCAGAGCTTGTGATGTGGGGGAGGACAGGAACATTTCAACACCTGTGTAGGAGGTAGGGTGGTCAGCGCTGGAAGAGGGAGGAACAGGGCGCCTGCGCAGACCCAGGAGAGGCAGTTGGAGGCCGGCTCACCCTGTGCTTAGCAAGGCAGGCAGCGCCAGGGCAGCTGTTTGTAAAGCGCGCTGTGGGCCAAGAGTTGGAAAGAAAGCAGAGGGCAGGGGGCAGAGTTTGTGTGGCTACAGCCCTAGTCCATGATGGATGCAGCTGAGAGGCAGCACAGGGGGTCCCTGGAGCAGTTGTGTTTCTTGCATTCTAACTCTGCCAGTTACCTGCTGAACGTGTACATTGTTTCCAGTGTTTTGTGGTCATGAGCCAAGTTGAATAAAACTTCTTTGAAGCTTTATACTCATGTTTGTTCCTGCAAGTGGACTTGTGGATCAAAGGGATGAGTTTTTAAAGACTTTTAAAATGTAATTTGGCTTCCTAAGAAGTAATACCAATTTTTTTTTATTTGACAGATAGTGTTAGACAGTGAAAGGGAGAGAGACAGAGAGAAAGGTCTTCCTTCCGTTGGTTCACCCCCCGAAATGGCCACTATGGCCAGAGCTACACCGATCTGAAGCCAGGAGCCAGGTGCTTCCTCCTGCCCCCCCACGCGGATGCAGCGCCCAAGCACTTGGGCCATCCTCCACTGCTTTCCCGGGCCACAGCAGAGAGCTGGCCTGGAAGAGGAGCAACTGGGGCTAGAACCCACACCCATATGGAATGCTGGCGCCACAGGTGGAGGATTAACCAAGTGAGCCACGGCGCCGGCCCAAGTAATACCGATTTTTAAAAAATGTTTGTTGTTAAGTATTTGTAAGGCAGAGCAAGAGAGAGCTCTTCCATCCCCTGGTTCACTCTCCAAATGCCCACAGCATCCAGGCCTGAGGCGTGCTGATGCCTGAGCCCAAACTCCCTTTGGCTTTCCCACGTGGGTGACAGGGACCCAAGTACTTCCCCCAGGCGGCAGGAAGCGGAGCAGTGGGGAGTGGCACTAGTGCTCCGCTCTGGGACGTGGGTACCACATGTGGCAGCTTAACCGCTGTGCCATGACGCCCAGCTGGCAGCGCCCGCAGCCACTCCCCCCAGCGCTGCCCACCAGGGCCTGTCCGCAGAGGCTTTCCCAACTCACGAGACTGTCTCTTTTCCTTCTGACCTGGAGCTGTTTGGTGAAATTTGTGTCGACTTGCTTTTAAATAAGAATTTTCCTTTCTTTCCAGGGGAAACAGGCTCTGGGAAGACGACTCAGATCCCGCAGTACCTGTATGAAGTGGGGATCGGCCGCCAGGGCGTTATTGCTGTGACCCAGCCCCGCCGCGTGGCTGCCATCTCTCTCGCCACGAGGGTCTCAGATGAGAAGAGAACTGAACTCGGGAAGCTGGTAACTGCTTTCCCTCTTTCTCCCAGGGCCACCTTACCCCCGCCAGTTCTCCAGAGGGCCTTGCCTTCCGGTGTCCGACTAAGGCTTCTTTTCCATAGCAGGCTTAGTGCTTGCCGCGGCCTGCAGGCCCCTCCGAGGCCTCTCCCCGCTGCCCAGCAGACGGAGGCCTAGCCGGGCCGTCAGCCACCTTTGCTTTGCCTTCAGAACCTGGGGGCAGGATGGATGGCCGCTGTCCTTGAGCTTTGCTAAGGTTTCAGGAACCTCCGTGAGAAATCTAGAGAAAGCCCTCTTCTAGTGCACGTGTGGGCACTGAGAGAACATTCATATGTATGACATGTAACGTATGAAACTGCGTGGGCAGTCATTTCACACCGAAGCGTCCGGGGTGTCTTTCCCATCTGCATAGGTTCGCGTGAAACTATTCAGTAGCATGAGCAGGAGGGCAATTTTAAATCCTCTGCCCTGCTTCTCAGAATTGCAGAGCAGGTGTGGCCCAGTGGCCGGCTCCCCACTAGACACCTGAGGGGGCGGGGCAGCTCCGTGGGGCCTTCACTGCGACAGCACGGTGCTGCGTGCACAGCAGGCGCCTGGCGAGTATCCGACGGGTGCAGGAGTCACCTCTTCACGCAGGTTGGCTACACGGTGCGCTTTGAGGATGTCACCTCAGAGGACACCAGGATCAAGTTCCTGACGGACGGCATGCTTCTGCGCGAGGCGCTCTCCGACTCCTTGCTCCGCAAGTACAGCTGCGTCATCTTGGATGAAGCCCACGAGCGGACCATCCACACGGACGTGCTCTTCGGGGTGGTGAAAGCGGCACAGAGGCGGCGCAAGGAACTGGGGAAGCTGCCCCTCCAGGTCCGTGGGGCACGTTCCAGGGAGCAGGCCTGTGCCTCCCCCTCAGTCCCTCTGCTTCAGTTCCACGGGAGAAGCCTGGCTGCAAGGGGAACAGCACAGGCCCCAGCCGCCAGCTTCTAGGGCTTGGAGGGGCCCGGAAAGGCGCCTGGTGTGTGTTTGCCACCTCCTCCCCGTTCTCCCACCAGGTGATTGTGATGTCCGCAACGATGGACGTGGACCTGTTCTCTCAGTATTTCAACGGCGCTCCTGTCCTCTACCTGGAGGGCCGGCAGCATCCAATCCAGGTGTATTACACCAAGCAGCCTCAGCATGACTACCTGCACGCGGCCCTGGTCTCAGTCTTCCAGATCCACCAGGTATGGAGTGCGCTGCCATCCCCGAGCAGCCCTGCTTTGTCTTGCAGTTGGTGATGAGGGCTTTCGGCCCTGGAAAGCAAAGCTGCTGACTAAAACAGCTCTGTGAGCCGTGTCATCAAGGAGTCGCCAGGTCCAGGTTTTTATTTCTTTTTTATTTACTGGAAGGTGGAGCTTCAGAAAGAGAGGAAGAGACAGAGATCTTCCATTTGCTGGTCCCCAAATGCCAGCAATAGCCAGGACTGGTCCCGGCTGACACGAGGAGCCGGGAACTCCATTCAGGTCTCCCAGATGGGCGGCAGGGACCCAAGTACCTGAGTTATCACTGGCTGCCTTCCCTGCTGTATTAGCAGGAAGCTGGATCGAAAGCCGAGGAGCCAGGACTTGAGCTGGGACTCCTCAGGGATGCGAGTGCCCACACAGCGGCTTAACCTTTACACACTGCAGCTGCCCCACGTCCTGATTTTTACCAATTTTTATGCTGCCTTTGTTCTATTTTCTTTTTTAAGTTTATTTGAAAGGCAAGTTACAGAGAGGCAGAGAGAGAGAGAGAAGTCTTCCATCCACTGGTTCAGTCCCCAGATGGCTGCAACAGTCGGAGCTGTGGCAATCTGAAGCCAGGAGCCAGAAGCCTCCTCTGGGTCTCCCACGCATGTGCAGGGGCCCAAGGACCTGGGCCATCTTCCACCGCTTTTCCAGGCCATAGCAGAGAGCTGGATCAGAAGTGGAGCAGCCGGGACTTGAACTAGTGCCCATGTGGATGCCGGCACTGCAGGCGGTGGCTTTACCCACTTTCGGCCTCTTTCATTTTCTTTTAAAAGAAAAATAGTTTGACCAACATCTTTCCTTCACTGAGCTAGAAAACTGCCATATGTTAGAGCAGTGGCTTACATATTATATTTTTATCATAATCTCCAGGAATAAATACATTTTTATATTGCAGCCCAGTACTCTATCTATCTATCTATCTATCTATCTATCGCTAAAATAATGCTATGAAATACTGCCTCTTTTAGTACATAGGATGTATTCCAATATTTTCACTTCATTAAAAAAAATGGATATTGACTCAATAATGGTTGCAACTTAGAGATTTTTATTTATTTATTTTTTGGTATATTTGTTTTGAGAGCTAGAGTACTTATTTTGCTGGGTTACTCCCCAGATATCCTCAACAGTGCAGGGAAAGGGGACCAAAGCCAGGAGCCAGGAACCCAGTTCAGGTCTCCCATGTGGGTGGCAAGAACTACTTGAGCCATCAGTGCTACCTCCCCGGGTCCACATTAGCAGGAGCCAGAGCCAGGAATCAGAATCACACCCAGGCACTCCAGTGTGGGGTGCAGGCATCTTAACCAGTGGCTTAACTGCTGGGCTAAATGCCCACCCTGAGTATTTTCTTAAACTATATATTAGCAAGACATTTCAAAGTCTCTTCTCATTTTGTTGAGCTGTACCTAAAATGCTTGTGATTGCCTCGCCTCACTTTCTTGATCTATCAGTATTAGGTGTTGTATGCTGATTCCTTACTGTGGTAGATGAGGCTTTGGAAATGCCCCCTCCACCCACCTTGTCTCCCCCACCTTCTCAACATAGCATAGCAGGGCTTTTGAATTCAGTCTCAGTGTTTTCACTGTTGTGACCATGCATTGCTGTCAACATACCATCTCTCTTCTTGGCTTTTGGACAACACAGTTGTGCAAGTTCTCTGTGTAGCTATGGCTGATTCCCCCTAAATGTTGCAGCATCTCTCCCAGCAGTCCTCTGAATAAACACAGTCCAGGTGGGATGGGTGGCTCTCCAGGGCCTCTGCACAGTGGACTTCTTAATTCCTCTCCCCAGTCTCCTGCTGTGAGGCCCTTGGTGGCCTCCTGTGGCTTCGCAGCCTCTTGGCTACCCTGGGAAGAGGAAGGAATCTGGGAGTGGGGAGAGTGGGGGAGTTAACCATGCTGTGCTCAGACATGGCACCAATTTCTGGCTGTTCAGTGTCACAGTCACTTCTGCCTTGCTGCCTGAGTCCTGAGCTTTCTGGGTCCTCTGGGGAAATCAGCTCATTCCTTGTCTCTTTCCCCCTTAGCAGGCACCCAGATCGTAGCTTCTTCTGTCCAGCCAGGTCATTCATTCAGTCCACTCTGTCATCTCCTCATCTCCTCCATCTTTTCTTTTCTTTTTCTTTTTCTTTTCTTTTTTTTTTTTTGACAGGCAGAGTGGACAGTGAGAGAGAGAGACAGAGAGAAAGTTCTTCCTTTTTGCCGTTGGTTCACCCTCCAATGGCCGCCGCAGCCGGCACGCTATGGCCGGTGCATCGCTCTGATCTGAAGCCAGGAGCCAGGTGCTTCTCCTAGTCTCCCATGCGGGTGCAGGGCCCAAGCACTTGGGCCATCCTCCACTGCACTCCCGGGCCATAGCAGAGAGCTGGCCTGGAAGAGGGGCAACTGGGACAGAATCCGGCGCCCCGACCGGGACTAGAACCCAGTGTGCCAGCGCTGCAAGGTGAAGGATTAGCCTAGTGAGCCGCAGCGCCAGCCCTCCTCCATCTTTTCTTTCTTTCTTTTTAATTTTTTCTTTTATAGATTTATTTTATTTATTTGAAAGTCAGAATTACAAAGAAAGAGGGAGAGAGAGAGAGAGATTTTCACCCACTGGTTCACTCCCCAAATGGCTTCAATGGCTGGAACTGGGCTGATCCAAAGCCAAGAGCCAGGAGCTTCTTCCAGGTCTCTCACATGGGTGACAGGGGCCCAAGTGCTTGAACCATCCTCTGCTGCTTTCCCAGGCACATTAGCAGGGAGTTTGACCAGAAGTGGAACAGCCAGGATTTGAACGAGTGCCCATATGGGATGCCAGTGTTGCAAGGTGATGACTTTATTGAATGCGCCACAATGCCCATCTTTCAAAAATGGGTTGGACACCTCTTATCTCATGATCTTTGCTGTCTTGTTGATAGTATTTGGGGAAGAAAAGGTTCATCTGTCTGTAAATGTTTAAAGCAAACTTGAGGGTATTTGTGAGTGATGGCTGCTGTTGCATTCCGGTGACATGGTGCTTTGATGACCCGCACTGGTGACATTTTAACTGTTTTAGATTTTGTCCTGGCTGTGCAGTTGGCCTTCCTTATTGACTGGTTCTTCATGAGTGAATTCAACCAACTATGGACTAGAAGTATTTGGAGGGAGAAATCTGTACTGAACATGTGCAGACTTTTATTTATTGACATTGTTCCCTGAACAATAAGCATTACTACTGCCTGCTTGCACAGTGTTCAGTATTCTAGGTAACCCAGAGATGAGTTAAAGTGTATGGGAGGATGTGCATAGGTTATATGGAAAGGCTGTACCATTTTATAGAAGGGACTCGGGCATCTGGGGGTTTTGGTATCCATGGGGTCCTGGGACCAATCCTCCGTGGATGCTGGGTGCCAGCTGTGTCTACCTCTGAGTGTTTGTCCTGTCAATGTTAGGCTGAAAACACATACACACAACACACACACACACGCAAATGTGTAAATATGCAAGATTACATATGCACAACACATTATTTAGCATTGTTTCAGTTTTACTGTCAAGTAGTTTACAGATGTCAAAGACAGGCAGATAAATGAGTGTCATCCACACTCGGGTGTTGTTCCCTTTGAAGGTGGAGAACTTCCACTGAACCTCAGGATCTGAAGTCACTGTCTGGGGTAGTGACTTTCTGGGTATGTGAAAGTGCTTTCAATGGCATCTTTTAATAAGGGCTCCCTGTGCTTCCAGACATTTCCACGGATTGGGATTTCCCCAAGTTGTCTTCTCTTCTGTCAGCTTTGTCTTTTAAGATGCTTTTGAAAGGGAGGAAGCTTTGTGCAGACTTTTTTAGTTTGCCTGATCATGACTTTCATGGCACTATTCCTGTTACAAAAGCAATGTGGTGGGGCTGGCATCATGGCTCAGTGGCCCTGGCCTACAGCACCACTATCCTTTATGGGCACCAGCTTAAGTCCTGACTGATCCACTTCAATCCAGCTCCCTGCTAGTGTGCCTGGGAAAGCAGCAAAAGATGGCCCAAGTGCTTGGGTCTTTGCACGCATGTGGGAGACCCAGAAAAAGCTCTTGGCTCCTAGGCTCAGTCTGGCTCAGTCCTGGCTGTTGTGCTCATTTGGGGAGTGAACCAGCAGATGGAGGATTTCTCTCTCTCTGTCTCTCCTTCTCTTTCTGTAACTCTTTCAAATAAATAAATGAATCTTTTTTAAAAATAAAAAGTCATAACTGAAATCAAGGAATGAAAGCATTGCATTTTGAGAGGCCCTATTAAAAAAAAGCAATATGGTGATTTTTCTTCCATATTTTGATTGGTTCTTTTTTTTAACTTTTATTTAATGAATATAAATTTCCAAAGTACAGCTTTTGGATTATAGCAGCTTTTCCCTCCATAACCTCCCTCCCACCTGCAACCCTCCCATTTCCTGCATCCTCTCCCCTTCCATTCACATCAAGATTCATTTTCAATTTTCTTTATATACAGAAGATCAATTTAGTATATATTAAGTAAAGATTTCAACAGTTTGCACCCACATAGAAACACAAAGTAAAAAATACTGTTTGAGTACTAGTTATAGCATTAAATCACAATGTACAGCACATTGAGGACAGAGATCCTACATGAGGAGTAAGTGCACAGTGACTCCTGTTGTTGACTTTACCAATTGACACTCCTGTCTATGGCATCAGTAATCTCCCTATGCTCCAGTCATGAGTTTCCAAGGCTATGGAAGCCTTTTGAGTTCACCGACTCTTATCTTATGTAGACAAGGTCCATAGTCAGAGTGGAAGTTTTCTCCTCCCTTCAGAGAAAGGTACCTCCTTCTTTGATGGCCTGTTCTTTCCACTGGGATCTCACTCACGGAGATCTTTCATTTAGGTGTTTGTTTGTTTGTTTGTTTGTTTTTTTGCCAGAGTGTCTTGGCTTTCCATGCCTGAAATACTCTCATGGGCTTTTCAGCCAGATCCAAATGCTTTTAGGGCTGATTCTGAGGCCAGAGTGCTGTTTAGGACATCCGCCATTCTATGAGTCTGCTGTGTAACCCACTTCCCATGTTGGATCATTCTCTCCCTTTTTTGTTCTATCGGTTAGTATTTTCAGACACTAGTCTTGATTATGTGATCTCTTTGATTCTTAGTCCTATCATTATGATCAATTGTGAATGGAAATTGATCACTTGGACTAGTGAGATGGCATTGGTACATGCCACCTTGATGGAATTGAATTGGATTCCCCTGGTATGTTTCTAACTACCATTTGGGGCAAGTCAGCTTGAGCATGTCCCAAATTGTACATCCCTTCCCTTTCTTATTCCCACTCTTATATTTAACAGGGATCACTTTTCAGTTAAGTTTCAACACTTAAGAATAACTGTGTATTAATTACAGAATTAAACCAATAGTATTAAGTAGAACAGACATGAAAGGGTGTTGAATTTTATGGAATGCTTTCTCTGCATCAATTGAGATAATCATATGGTTTTTCTTCTGCAGTCTGTTAATGTGGTGTATCACATTGATTGATTTGCGAACATTGAACCATCCCTGCATACCAGGGATAAATCCTACCTGGTCTTGGTGGATGATTTTTCTAATGTGTTGTTGTATTCTATTGGCGAGAATTTTATTGAGGATTTTTGCATCTATGTTCATCAGGGATATTGGTCTGTAATTTTCTTTCATTACTGCATCTTTCTCTGGCTTAGGGATTAAGGTGATGCTGGCTTCATAGAAAGAATTTGGGAGGATTCCATCTTTTTCAATTGTTCTGAATAGTTTGAGAAGAAATGGAGTTAGTTCTTCTTTAAATGTCTGGTAGAATTCAGCAGTGAATCCATCTGGCCCTGGGCTTTTCTTTGTTGGGAGGGTCTTTATTATGGTTTCAATTTCTTTCTCAGTTATGGGTCTGTTCAGGTTTTCTGTTCAGGTTTTCTATGTCTTCCTGGTTCAATTTAGGTAGATTGCATGTGTCCAGGAGTCTATCCATTTCTGATAGTTTTCCTGTTTGCTGGCATACAACTCTTTGTAGTAATTTCTGATGATTCTTTTAATTTCTGTGGTGTCTGTTGTTACATTTCCTTTTTCATCTCTGATTTTATTGATTTGGGTCTTTTTTCTTCTTTTTTTAGTTAGTTGGGCCAATGGGGTGTCAATTTTGTTTATTTTTTCAAAAAACCAGCTCTTCGCTTGGCTGATTTTTTGTAATTTTTTTTGATTCAGTCCTGTTGATTTCTTCTCTGATTTTAATTATTTCTCTTCTACTAGATTTGGGTCTGGTTTGCTGCAGTTTTTCTAGGTCCTTGAGATGCGCTGAAAGCTCATTTATTTGGTGCCTTTCCAATTTCTTGATGTAGGCATCTATTGCTATAAACTTTCCTCTCAATACTGCTTTTGCCATATCCCATAAATTTTTGTGTTTGTTGCTTGGCATTGTGAATTCTTCTTCCCTCACTGTGGTGTTTTCTTTCATCCTCAATTTTCCTGCAGTCTCCCACCAGGTTGCCTAGGTTACCGAATTGTAGCGTCTCTGGAGAGCACTCACGTGGCCTCCATGAGTTCTCTCACCCACCATCTCTTTTCCCCGCCTCAGTTCATTAGCTCTACCCTTTCATTAAATCGTAACCTCCTGGTATTTCGCCCCCCAGAGTCAGGTTTTTCTGTTTGACTGAGGGCAGGCGCAGGTCTGTCACGCTCAGCTCTGAGTTCGTGTACAGCCCTGAGGTCCCGCACAGCTCTGAGGTCGCACACCTGTTACGTATATCCAGAATGGCACCTGCTCTTTGTCTCTTGCTTGCCTTTGCAAGGTCGGCGGAGAGAGAAACTAGCCCATACCAGTCCCCGTTCCCCCCCCCCCTTTTTCCCCCCCTTCTCTTTTCTCCTGTAGTCAGTCTGGTGAACTTTCCCCAGCGGGGCCTCAAGCCCAGTTCCCTCTAGGCTCTGTCTGCCGCTGTTTCCCCCGCCAAATGTCTCGGGTTACTGAGCTCACCTCCCCTTCCAGCGCCGATGTGTGGACTCGGAGCTGTGGGCATCCCTGCTCTCCCCGCTGGTCGTCTGTGTCACATCCACTAGATCCGGAAGAGTTTCCTCTGCATTTTTTTCCCCCGAGCCTTTCCCTGTAATTACTGTAATTCCTCTTTTATCAGCCTATCTTTTCCCGGACTATCAGTGCGCGTCCTCACTGTTCCGCCATCTTGGCTGCGCCCTTGATTGGTTCTTAATCATGATTGACTAGCTCACACATATTAGAGCTTTATTCATTGCTAGTAGGAGTATTTTCCCCCAGGCAGTGGTCATTGGTTACAAATCACAAAAAATAACTGGGGAGCGTGATCCCCACACATTATTTTTTTCCTGTCTTTTTCATAGGAGGCCCCTTCTTCTCAGGACATCCTGGTGTTCCTCACTGGTCAGGAGGAGATTGAAGCCATGACTAAGACCTGCCGGGACATCGCAAAGCACCTCCCAGACGGCTGCCCCGCCATGCTGGTCCTTCCGCTGTATGCCTCCCTGCCCTACGCACAGCAGCTCCGGGTCTTCCAAGGGGCCCCAAAGGTGAGGGCACCACCTCTTCTGTCCAGCCCCGTGCTGGGCACCCAGACATTCTCCAGTGGGGCCTGTGTCTGCCCCCCAGCTTCAGCTGTGGTGGACAGGATGGGATACTCGGGTACCAGCACAGCTGCTGAGAAGGCCCAGGATACCATGCACAGCTCCTCTGTGAGAACAGGGAAACGGCTGTGGGGGGCGGGAGGAGGAGAAAAGGCAGGAGCTCAGAGGTAAACGAAAGATTTCTTTTACTTATTTGAAAGGGAAGAGAGAGGGAGAGACAGGGAGAGAAAAAAATCTGTCACTGGTGGTTCACTCTCCATACGGCTGCAACAGCTGGAGTTGGGCCAGGCCAAAGCCAGGAGTCCAGAACTCCATCCTCATCTCCCATGTGGGTAGCAGGGGCCCAAGCACTGGGGCCATCATCCACTGCTTTCCCAGGCACATTAGCAGGGAGCTGGATCAGAAGTGGAGCAGCTGGGGCTTGAACTGGAGCCCTGATATGTGATGCCGCATTGCAAGCAGTCATTTAACCTGCTGTACCACAAATGAGTGACTCTTCTAAGGGCCATCATAGTCCATTTATTGTGTACCTCTGCTCTGCTCACACTCATGTGCACTCACGTACACTGTGTCTCCTTCACACGGAAATCAGCAGGGTAAGGTATGGCCCCACAGGGGTCCCATGGCCCCAAGAGAGGAAGTGAGAATTGCTCAGGGGGCACACAGTGAGTCAGGGCTGGGATTCTAACTCACATCCACTTGCTTCTGAATCTACGCCTGTTCCACTACACCTCACTGCCTCCGATTAAACTTCAGAACTGCAGGACCTCTGCACCCCTACCCCTGCCTCTCCTGCTTTAATGGCTGACTCATAATGTTAGAGACTGCCGTTGACAGTGAAATCTTTCCTTGGTCATGAACGAACTAGGGAAGTTCATGGTAACAATTCGTGTGAAAACTCCTGATTTGTTTTTGTGTCATGTGACTTTTTGTTTTTTTTCTTCCCTCCTTTTAGGGCTGTCGCAAAGTGATCATTTCAACTAACATCGCAGAAACCTCCATAACCATTACAGGAATAAAATATGTGGTTGACACGGGCATGGTCAAAGCAAAGAAGTATAACCCTGGTGAGGACTTGCAGCTCGTGAGCATCTCCCCTGTGCCTGGCCAGCAACTATTGAAACCACAGCCCCACAGTCTTTCCCCCAGAGAGGCATTTTGTGTTTATAAGTTTTTTTTTCTTTATTTGAGAGGCAGAGTTACAGACAGACAGAGGGAGAGACAGAGAGAAAGGTCTTCCATCCACTGGTTTACTCCCCAAATGGCCATAACAGCCAGAGCTGAGCCGATCCAAAGCCAGGAGCCAGGAGCTTCTTCCGGGTCTCCCACGTGGGTCCAGGGGCCCAAGGACTTGGGCCATCTTCCACTGCTTTCCCAAGCCATAGCAGAGAACTGGATTGGAAGAGGAGCAGCTGGGACATAAACGGGCGCCCATTTGGGATGCCAGCTCTGCAGGCAGAGGCTTAGCCTACTACGCCACATTGACAGTCCCTGTTTGTAATTCTTGAGAGTTGGGTGGCAGGCACTGTGAGTGAGACCATCCCCAAGTCCAGTCCAGTCCAGAAAGCAGAACTGAGGCAGGTGTGAGCTCAGAAGTCCAGGCAGAAAAAAAGAGCACAGGGGACAGAGGGCTGGGCCCTGGGCAGGGGGTCTGCAGCCCCATCGGAAGCTGGGCAAGAACGACAGGTCTAAGCAGGGAGAGCTCGACACCAGTCAGGGACTTGGCTAGGCTGCTTTGTGCTCTCAGGTTGCTCAGGAAGGCAACAGAGCCCCTGGGCTGGGGGGAGGCCTAACACCAGCTGCCTCCTAGGACGGTGCAGGGAGAAGCTTGCTTGATGTCATTGTTACTCCGGTCTGTTTTATACCTTGTTTCATTCTACAGAGGATTCCAGCCAACTGGAATGTGCTCCCAGATATTTAAGTGAAGTGCTCTGCTAGGCACATGTGCCGACTTCACCTGTGAATCTCCCAGGGATGATGTACTGTCGTACATCACCTAGCCACAGGGGCTTGTTCTGAGAATTCATCATTGGGCCAACATCATAGAGGGAGCTGCACAGACTAAATGGTGTAGCTGCCTGCTCTCCTGTGCTGTATGGTTTATACTGTTGCACACGCAGTCTGTTGGTCACAGTGTTGCTGTGTGGCTCATAACCTGTGCGACAACATGGGTACTGGCACCTTTATCAAGAAAAGTAATCTGTCTATTCCTAGGAAGCAAACTTCACATTATTTCTATTTTATAATAGAACTGGGAGGAGGGAGAAAGCACACACACAGGTGACACGAGGCCTTTAATTTCTGAGTCATTGATAGGGGGACCACCCCTACCCCCATCCCCACCCCTGCTGGCTTCTGGAAACCATTCCAGAAGTCCTGCATCCCAGGTGACCCTCAGGCTCAGGTAGATGAGGGTGGCTGGCCATCTTCTGAACTCCGCCGAGAGCTCAGAAGCCCTGGTCCTGGCCCCTGGCTACAGTAGGAGGCTTTCTGATGTGCTGGTAGCAGGTGTCACGCAGGGCTCGCTGCAGGGCTGTGTTTCATGCTGGGGCCGAACTGCCACAGAGCAGCCTGGCTTTGGGCTTTCTCCTGCATCCCTGGCGTTCTGAGGAGCGTTCCTTTCAGTCAGTGCAGTGCACATGGTTTATGTGCTGAGCCAAGCAGCAACGGGGCTCCTCTGTCTCCAGACAGTGGTCTCGAGGTGCTGGCTGTGCAGCGCGTGTCCAAGACCCAGGCCTGGCAGCGCACTGGGAGGGCTGGCCGGGAGGACAGTGGCGTCTGTTACCGGCTCTACACAGAGGACGAGTTCGAGAAGTTTGAAAAGATGACGGTGCCAGAAATCCAGAGGTAGGCCCAGGGTACCTGCACTCCTGCTGTTCGCCCCACCTCTCTTCCCATTGCCCGTGTTTGTCCTCAGTGAGCGTGTGTGACTCGCAGTGGGGACAGGGGACAGGGGAGCGACCCTCTGCCACTCTGTGTTCACAGGTGTAACCTGGCGAGTGTCATGCTTCAGCTCCTCGCCATGAAAGTCCCAGACGTGCTCACCTTTGACTTCATGTCCAAGCCGTCTCCAGGTGAGTGGAGCCCAGTGTAGCACAAGGCGAGGAGTAGACAAGCAACAACAAATGGACTCTTTCAGGAAAAACAGTATTGTGAAAGAAAATCCTGGCTTCTCTGTTTTCTTTCTTTTTTTTTTTTCCTTTTAACTGAAAAAATGCAATTGGAAAGAGAGAGAGGGGGTAAAAAGGTCACAGTTGTTGGAGGTAGAGGGTCCCACATCCCCCAGTCCTTAGGTTCATAGTTTTCCTCCTTCGGAACAACTACTGACCACGTTCTGGTGTCTTCTAAGAAAAACCTATGCCTCTATGAGCCTGTGTGGTCTCTTAGAACAAATGGCAACATACATCGTGTGCTGTTCTGTGCCCGGGTTGTTTTTTATTAAATTCCTGCAAAGCAATAGTAATAACATCAATCCTGAGTGTCCCTTACCTGTGCCTTCACAGCCCTTTGAGCTCCTGCCTGGCTGCCCCCCACCTAATTCAGAGTTCTCTTGCTTTTCTTTATTGTTTACCACGTGCCTGTGTGTCCCTAACAATCTTAGGTCAGCTTGCAGGCTTACGTATTGATTGTTCAGAGTGCTCTGTTCATTCAGCATGTTTTGGAAGATTTATCTGTGTCAGTGCATTTTCAACACTAAATGCTGTTCCATTTGTGAATTAAACAAAATGCATTTACCTATTCTCTTTCAACATACATTACTTTTGTCACATAGTATATTTTATAGATAATTCCTATCTATATGGGTATATATTACTATATCCTTAGAAATGCTTTTTTTCTTAGGGATTTGTTTATTTATCTGAAAGACAGAGTTGAGAGGGAAAGACAAATATTCCACCTTCGGGTTCACTCCCCAGATGGCTCCAACAGCCATGGCTGGGCCAGTACAAAGCCAGGAACCTGGAACTCTGTCCAGGTCTCCCAAGTAGGTGACAGGGACCCAAGTACCTGGGCCCTGTCTGTAATTTGGCCCTTCCGTGCCTTTCCCAGTGCGTAAGCAAGGAGCTGGATCAGAAGTGGAGCACCCACACTCCACTCCTGCTGTGCCACAGTGGGATAAAAGATGCTTTTTCATTCTTGAAGGATTTACATAGTTCAAATGCATTTACTTGATCCAAAATACAAAAATATTTTTAAAAAAGTAAGAGAAATAGTAAACAACGTCCTGTCCCCTTGTCTCGCCACCTCCCAGTGGTGTCTGAGGCACTTGGTATTTTTGTTGTGTGTGCCTGTGGAGACAGGGATCTCTGCTTGTCTGAGTGCATCTGCCAGTGACGTTCCTAAGTGTGACGTTGCTGGGGCAAGGGGTCAGCATCTTCAAAGCCTGCATACGTAGTGCCAAGTTACAGGCCATCACCTGTAAAGGAACTGAACTAAAGACAGTGGTGTTGTGAAGAGCTTTGAACTGTCGAGGGACAGTTGTGATCGTGACTTTGGCTGCTGTGCAGTGTATAATTATCAATAGCTCCCAGAAAGTGTGGAACTGACATAACATCTTCCTCATTTGGGTTTTCTCTCTCTCTCTCTCTCTCTCTCTCTCTCTCTCTCTTTCTTTCTCTTTTGTTCTTTCTTTTCTTTCTTTTTAAAGGTTTATTTATTTGAAAGTCAGAGTAACATAGAGAAGGAGAGGGGTAGGGAGAGAGAGAGAGGTCTTCCATCCTCTGGTTCACTCCCCAATTGGCTGCAATGGCCGGAGCCATGCCAATCCGAAGCCAGGAACCAGGAGCCTCCTCTGGGTCTTCCCATATGGGTGCAGGGGCCCAAGAACTTGGACCATCTTCCACTGCTTTCCCAAGCCACAGCAGAGAACTGGGTGGGAAGTGGAACAGCTGGGACTCTAACCAGCACCCATATGGGATGCTGGCACTGCAGGTGGTGGCTTTACCCGCTATGCCACAGCGCCGGCCCCTTCTTTTTGCAGAGTTACAGAGAGGGAGAGAGAAAGATCTTCCATCTGATGATTCACTCCTCAAATGGCTGCAGTGGCCAGGGCTGAGCCAAGCCAGAGCCAGTAGCCAGGAACTCCGTCCAGGTCTCCCATATGGGAGTGCTTGGGCCATTTTCCACTGCTTTCCCATTAGCAGGGAGCTGGATGGGAGGTGGAGCAGCTGGGACCCTAACCCATACCCCGTATGAGTTGCAGGCGGCAGTTCAACCTGCTGTGCCACAACGCCGGCCCCTGTCTTGTTTCTTTAGATCACATTCAGGCGGCCATTGCCCAGCTGGACTTGCTGGGGGCTCTGGAACATAAGGACGACCAGCTCACCTTGACCCCGATTGGAAGGAAGATGGCAGCGTTTCCTTTAGAGCCCAGATTTGCCAAGGTAAATGGTGCCTTCTCCCCCCCAGGAGAGTCCTGAGCCCAGGACATCCCAAGGAATCTTACTGTCCTCCTGAACAGTTACTGACCCCTAGTTGGTGAGTAATACTGATATGTGAGTGGGACTCAAGGATGTTAGGTCTTGGGCCCTGCCCCCGAGGGAGCTGTGGTGCCATGGGGAGGGCAGTCTCTGTTTCAAGCAGTCACGTAGCAGTCACGTGCCAGTCATGGATTTAGACGCCTGCCCTCCACTGCGGGGCACACAGTGTCTGGAGGCTCGGAGAACCCTTGATTTACAAACGTCTCGACTTTGGCTTGCAGACCATCCTGCTGTCGCCCAAGTTCCACTGCACAGAGGAGATACTGACCATCGTGTCCCTGCTGTCCGTGGACAGCGTCCTCTACAACCCTCCTGCCCGGCGGGATGAGGTGCAGGCCGTGCGCAGGAAGTTCCTTTCCAGCGAGGGGGACCACGTCACCCTGCTCAACATCTACCGGACCTTCAAAAACCTCGGCGGCAACAAGGTGAGCCCCGCCTGCTCCTGCCGCACAGGGCAGCGCCGCCACGGGGCTCCTTTTCTGGCCGAGCCATCTACAGCCACAAGGAGGACCCGCGTCATGTCAGAAGGGCCTGCGCAAGGGTAGATTGTGGGGAAGGAGCGTGAGTCCAGCCCTTGTCCTGCCCGTGTTTACTTCCTGCTGTACGTGCGTCACTCGGGGAAGTGTTTGGTGCCTCCACGGCTTAGCCAGAGAGAGTTTTTCCCTGGCCTGCCCCGACTTTGTTCATAGTCGTTTTTTTGTGGTGGTGATAGTTCAGTTCCTCAGACCAAGGTGAAAATGGCAATATATTATCTCATGTTGTTACAATATGGGTAACGTGTGATTAACAACTCCTGCCACAGTAGGGTTTGCTTTCATTTAAAAAGAAAAAAATCTTCCACTGAGTTAGAGCAGCTGCAAAATGTTGCTATTTTTGTCTCAGAGGACTTGTAAGGAAATAAGATTCTGCAGATGCAGTAAGTGCACTGAACTCCTTTCCTACTCTCTCCCTCCGTCAGCACCGTCCTGTGCCAGCGTGTCCTGGCTTCACGTCCCTCGGTGGTGCATGCTATAGACTGCAGTCCTCCTCTGCCCCCACAGATAAGAAATACTGGGGAGAGATGCACCTGCACTGAACATCTACAGACCTCTGGTCTTGGTTCTTCCTTAAACAGTCCAGAGTGACAGCTGCTCACCTAGCATTCACCTTGGGTTCCGTATTACAGGTGACCTGGGGGCGATGTGCGTACATGGAGGACGTGCACAGGTTACGAGCAAACACTGCCCTTTTGTGTAAGGGACTTGGGCATCCCCAGGTTTTGGTATCTGCTGGGGGTGGGGGACTGGTTCCCCACTGCTGCCAAGGGGAGGGACAGCTCTGTTCGCTTCAGCTTCTTTCCCCATCCCGTGCTGCCATAGCCATCCTGTGCAGTCTCTTTGTGCACACGAGGGAGAACCTCTAGGGCTGACACCTAAGAGTGGGCCTACTGGAACTTGGGATAGCTGTAGCCCAGCTTTCCCAGGCTGCCAGGGGGCTCCCTTTGTCCACTCCTTGGAGTAACATTTAAGACTGTCCATTTGGGCCATCCTTTCCATCTCTCTGGTTGCAATGACTTTCATTTTTGCCAAGTTAATAGTTGTAGTCTCTCAAGTACTTTTTTTTTTTTTTAAAGATTTATTTATTTATTTGAGAGAGTTACAAACAGAGGGAGAGATGACAGAGAGAGGTCTTCCATCCACTCTTTCATTCCCCAAATGGCCGCAGTGGCCAGAGCTAGGCCAGTCTGAAGTCAGGAGCCAGGGGCTTCTACTGGGTCTCCCACATGGGTGCAGGGGCCCAAGGACTTGGGCCATCTTCTCCTGCTTTCCCAGGCACATTAGCAGGGAGCTGGATCTGAAGTGGAGCAGCCGGGACTACCGGCTCTGATATGGGATGCTGGTGCTGCAGGCCATGGCCCAACCTGCTACCCACAGTGCCGGCCTCTTCAAGTGCTTTAAACTATACTCCATGGATTCCCCAAGAGATTTGGAATGCTTACTGAAGTTTGGGGGTATTTATATTTTCTGTTTGGTGAGTTGTCTACTCATAATCTTTTGTCTGTTTTTCTACAGGGTTGTTGGTCTTTTTGTTACTGATTTGTAGGAGGTTTTTAAATTTTATTTATTGGGGCGGGCAATATGGCACAGAGGTTAAGGCCCCACTTGGGACAACCTGTATCCCATTCATGTCAGAATACCAGTTTGAGTCCCAACTCCTCCGCTTCTGATGCAGCTTCCTGCTAAAGCATCCTGGAAGGTAACAGATGGTGGCTCAAGTGCTTGGGTTCCTGCCACCCATGTGGGAGACCCAGATGGGCTCCCAGCTCTTGGTTTTATTTTCTTGAAAGGCAGAGACAGAGATCTTCTATCTTCTAGTTCACTTCCCAAATGCCCCCAACAGCAGGGCCTGCGTCAGGCTGAAACTAGGAGCCAGGAACTCCATCAGGGTCTCCCACGTGAGTGGCCAAACCCTCGGCCTCCCAGGCACATTAGCAGGAAGCTGGGTCAACGTGAAGGAGCTGAGACTCAAACTGGCACACTGACACAAAGGATGCAGGCATGGCCCTGCTTCCCACAGTGCCCGCTCTGAGAGACTGAATGTATCCTAGAAGAGCTTATCCTTGATTGGCAGATATTCCAGTCTGCAGCTTTTGTCTTGCTAATTTGAAGCAAGGACATTTTTGGCTTTGCTTTCATTAGAATTATTGATATTTGCTCTTGTAGTTCATGCTTTCTGATATAAAGATGAATTCCTATATTCCTTTTGCCCTCTGAATTCAACTTTGTCCTAAAACTTTTGTTAAATTGGTTTCTCTAGAGAAATGAGAGGATTATGATATCTTTTTTTCTCCTATTCAGGATTGGTGCAAAGAGAATTTTGTCAACAGCAAGAATATGATGCTGGTAGCCGAAGTCAGAGCACAGTTGAGGGAAATCTGCTTAAAGGTATTGTGTCCTTCTGGGGCTCTTTAGGGGACTAAGTTGCCACTTTTTTTGGGGGGGGGATAAAAAAATATTTTTATATTATTGCCAATGATTACAAAAGGAAGTCTCTCTCATTAAGGAAACTATTTTAGTCTACTTCCTGATAACTCTTCTTTTTGTTGCATCTTTTACATAGTTACATTGTATGTATAATTTATACTCGGTTTTATAAACTTTCTGTGTTTTCCAGTGTTACTAGAACTTTTTTAGTGAGAATCTCTTTGTTGCTTTTCTCGGGGACTAAAGCAGTATGTAGTTGTTAAATACTGACATAGGGCAGAACGTGGTGGTTCCTGCGGCAGCAGAGGCCTCGTGATCCTGCCCCGCAGAGATAACTTGTCTGTGTACACAGACACATGGGTTTATGTATCACATTTCCCTTTAAAAGAAATGTGGGGGCAAGATTTGGGGCAGTGGTTAAGGTGCTGCTGGGGAGGCCCACATGCCACGTGGGAGAGCCTGGTCTGAGTGCCAGCTCCTCTGCTCCTCATCCAGCTTCCTGCTCACGCACACCCTGGGAAGCAGCGGTGACGGCTCAAGTATCTGGGTGCCTGCCAGCCGTGCGGGAGACCAGGATTGAGTTCCTGGTTCCTGACTTCCAGATGACCCAGAACCAGCTGTTGCAAGCATCTGGGGAGTGAACCAGCAGATGAAAGATCTCTCTCTCTCTGTCTCTGTGTTGCTCTGCCTTTCAAATAAAGTGAAAATAAATTTGTAAAATTTTAAAATAAAAAAGCAAAAAAAACCACCAAAAAGCCCAATGTATTACACATGTTCTATAGCTTGTACTATGTATACTTCTTCCTTTTTTTTTTTTTTAAAAGTTTTATTTATTTATTTGAAAGTCAGTGTTAGAGAAAGAGGAAGAGGGAAAGAGAGAGAAAGAAAGATAGCCATCTTCCATCTGCTGGTTCAGTCCCCAGATGGCAATGGCTGTGGCTAGCCCAGGCCGAAGCCAGGGGCCTGGGACTCCATCCCGGTCTCCTACATGGGTGACGTGGACCATCTTCTGCTGCTTTCTCAGGTGCATTAACATGGAGCTGGTTCAGAAGTGGAGCAGCCAGTACTTGAACCCACACTCATATGGGATGCAGGGGTCCCAGGTGGCGGTTTAACCTGCTGTTGCACAGTGCTATCAGCGAAGGGGAAAGGCTCCCCCAACCCCGGCACGTCCCAGTGAAGACTTGGGCGAGGGGCTGGGGCCCCCAACCTGCCTGTGGGCTGGGCGCTCAGAGGAATGTCTCCCTCTCAGTCCTCGTTCCCCCCGGCCATGGTTTCCCTGTCTTCAGTCCGCCCGTGCTGAGCCCTAAGACACGTGAGGAGACCACCCCTCCGTGTCGGTGTCTATGTTGGGCACACGGTAGACCAGAGCTGTGCCGTGGGCCTTGTTGCTGCCACCCACTAGGTCGTGCCGAGCGGTGTTGGTCACTGGGGTCCTTTTCATCTCTCACTTTGTCCTGAAACAGATGTCGATGCCCATGGCGTCCTCCCGAGGGGACATGGAAAGCGTCCGCCGCTGCCTGGCCCACAGCCTCTTCATGAACACCGCCGAGCTTCAGCCCGACGGCACCTACGCCACCACGGACACCCACCAGCCGGTGGCCATCCACCCGTCGTCTGTCCTCTTCCACTGCAAGCCAGCCTGCGTCGTGTACACGGAGCTGCTGCACACCAACAAGTGCTACATGCGCGACCTCTGTGTCGTGGACGCCGAGTGGCTGTACGAGGCTGCCCCCGAGTACTTCAGGAGGAAGTTGAGGACAGCCAGAAACTGAGCCGCTCAGGGTGCTGTCCGTGCTGCTCCTGCCCGGGCCTTGGACGCCCGCTGCCCTCACGGCAGGCTCTCCGGTTGGCCCCTGGGGCAGCTGCACGTCTCCACACAGCTGAGCGTGCCTGGCTTCCAGAAGCAGGAAGCTCAGCCTGGACTGTGTGCATGTGGACCTGCACTTACTGTGCTTTTGGTTCCTGCCGGTGACTGCAGGGGGCTCGTTTCCTCATCTGCCAAGTGGGGGTCATAAGACTTTTTTTTTCCCCCAAAGATTTATTTATTTATTTGAGAGGCAGAATTGCAGAGAGAGGGAGAGACAGAGAGAGAGAGGTCTTCCATCTGCTGGTTCATTCCCCAAATGGCTGCAATAACGAGGGCTAGGCCAATCCAAAGCCAGGAGATTCTTCCCGGTCTCCCATGTGGGTGCAGGAGCCCAAGCACTTGGGCCATCTTCCGCTGCTTTCCCAGGCCATTAACTGGGAGGTGGATCAGAAGAGGAGCAGCTAGGACTTGAACCCATGCCCATATGGGATGCTGGCTCCTCAGGCGGAGGCTTAACCTTCTACGCCACAGTGCCAGCCCTTATAAGAATTCTCACTCACAGGATTGGGCCATGAAGTGTAGAGAACATGGATGGAAATTACCCAGAGCCATGCCCGGCATGGGCTACACATCTGATGAGTCGTGAGCCATTATGCTTAACCTTGCTGCTCACTACCCAGTGTAAGCGAAGTACAACAAAACCCCCTGCATTCTTGGGACCAAAGCGGGCCTTCTGGAAGGAGGCTGCCATTGGGGGTTGCCGTGCCTGGATGCTGTCCCTGGTCCTATTTGAAGGTCTGTCTGTGGGAGACTGAAATAGCAGCCCTAAGACATGGCGTGCTGTGGGCGGTTCTGGAGGAGGTGCTGTTGTCTGTCACCTACTGGGGTGGCCGTCTGTGTGGAACCTCGGGTCTTAGGATGCGCGCTGCCCTGTGTCTGCCTCCAGGCAGGGGCCACTAAAGGAGTCCCCCGACCCTCGTGCCTCCCTGGCACAGATCCCCATCAGTGGTTTTGGAGGACGTGTACATTTCCTAGGCAAAGGCCAATTTGTATCTTGTGAATATATCAAGTACAGGCATGGGAAACTGACCGCAGGGCCTCCCACATACCCAGCTGTGGTTTTCCCTCTGAAGGAGCCCCGGGCCTCCTGTGAGCCTGAGGAATGGCCAGCCCTGTGCTCCTTTCCAGCTGCTGCTCCTTGGGCAGGCCCCTGGTCAGAGCTGCCAGGGATAGGGCGCGAGGGGCACTGTGCTTGATCAGTGAGAACCCAGAGAGCGACAGTCCCTCCCCCATGTCTGGTGTGTTGTTGTTTTTTGTTTTAAGAAGTCTTTTTTGTTGTTGTTTTAAGAAGTCTTTTTTTTTTTTTTTTAAAGATTTATTTTATTTATTTGAAAGGCAGAGTTACAAAGAGAGGCAGAGAGGTCTTCCATCTGGTTGTTCACTCCCCAAATAGCCACAACGACCCGGAGTCTGGAACTCCATCTCAGTCTCCCACGTGGGAGGCAGAGGCCTGAGCACTTGGGCCACCTCCCGCTGCTTTCCCACCGGCATTAGCAGGGAGCTGGTTTGGAAATGGAGCGGCCAGGACTGGAACCAGTGTTCATATGGGGTGCCTGTGTTGCAGGCGGTGGTCCTTACATTGCAGTTTAGTTATTCGCTGTGATCTTTTTTTCCTTCTTCGTAGGAAGTCGGGGGCAGTGTGGCTTTGCTCCTTCCCGACTGCCCAGCCCTTGTTGTCTGCGTTTGTTGGGGGGGCATTGAGGGTCTCCACAGTCTCTTCCTGTCCAGATATTTTGAGAAGGGAAAGACACTAAAGGTTCTTCTCAGCTATGTCATCATCAAAAACAAATGCTCTTTCCCCAGGGAGAGTCTGGCCTGGCAAGATCTGTCCTCTTATTGTGTGGCATTTTGTCACTGTTTACCAAATGCGTCATCTGGCTGCTAAGCAGGGAGCAGACCTGCCTCAGAGGCTCTGCAAAGACAGCGCAGTCTCCACCCTGGTGGGGGGGGAGGGACCGGGGGGCACCCCCACTGCAGCGTCTCAGCTCTCTCCAGGTGTGTGTGTCCAGTCCTGCCCTGTCAGCATGTGTGCCCGAGCCACCAGCCCTCAACACTCAGGTTTTCAGCCAGGTTTCTGGGGTGTCAGCACATGTGGTTTAGTTGTGGTGACAGTGATCACATGTAGATGAAATGGGATGTGACTGATCCTATATACCTCACCTCACAGTGTGGCTTTTCCACACGTTGCTGACTTTCTGGAGTTTTCCAGACAGTTCTTTCTGTTTTGTTTTTAGTGTATTTTTCTCATTCATTTAATAGAAAGCAAGGATGTTTAGCCGAAGCTGACGAAAGAAATATAGTGTATTTTAAATAAAACATTGGTCATTCTGTTAAAAAGAAATGGGAGGTGGGGGATAATTTATTAGGCTCCTCAGCAAATCCTCTAGCGAGAGGTATTCTCCAGGTCAGGTAAAACTCACCTTGCGTAATTTATATCCGGCTTAAGCACCCGAGAAGTTTCCAGAGACTCATGTTCTTCTCCGGGGGGCAGAGGATGCAAACAGCTTCTAAGTAGCTTTCATGTTTCAGTACAGAAATATGTTTACCCCTGTAACACTGAGGTAGTTTTTAATACAGTATTTAGTTTTCTATTGGGCTTTTAAGGAAGTTATTTTTTTATCGTAGCTGCTCAGGGATGAATCCAGGTTGGAAAGCCCACCCTAGCTCCACGTCACTAACACAGAAATAAGACCTGTCTGTCGAGCTGCAGGGGATGCTACACCTTAAACTTAGCGCTTTCACAGTGAGACTGCACCATAGCCCCGAGCTACCCTTTCCCACCTCCTCTGAGCGGCTGTGTGCAAACTGTGTTCAAGCAGGCGGCGTGGGGCGTGGCTCAGGCGGCTGTCCTGCTTACATCATCACAGAGGGTGAAACGTGGGGTAGGGCACCTTTCCTTACAAGGGCGAGGACCCCAATCCCTGTCCTTGATAAAAAGCTTTCATGCTGCAAACCTGCTGACTGGGAAGGAGATGCCAGATGCGGACAAGGTTTTGCTCGGGGAGGGAAACTGCACTGTGATACCTAAATCCTCCGTCCACTACGGATGTGGCCATGCATCTCTGACACCAGTGCTTTAGCATAAGAGAAAGCACGGGCCCCGTGGGCGAGAATGTTATGTTGTATTTCATAAGAATATTGTAACCTGCAGAGAAATCCAGAGGGAGGGAAAAAAATCAGGTTGGCTCAGGCATACGTTGTATTTTGAGTCTTAAATAAAGCTATGAAAAGATCAACTCCTGTGTATATGTATAACGCTCACATTCGCACCTGACTAGCAAGTGTCCATTCAGAACAAGTCTTGTACATGATGCATGTCCCTTCTTTCTTGTGTGTCCTTGCCCTTATTCACAGAAAGCTGTTTTGAAAATATTAAGTATTAGCCTTACAGTTGCCACAAAGCTAGGGAGACATTTTCTTGGTACCTTCCACACCCTGGCGAGTGCAGAACCAGATGTTAGCCATGGCTTCTGGCTCCCGGCAAAATGACTTTGCCTGAGAACTTGGATGCAAGGCCGGAGGGAGCAGGTGAAGCCAGTCACGAGAGGTTAACCATGGGCACCGCGCCTCGCGCCTCTGGGTCTCACCTGGCTGCAGTGAGGGGAGTCAGCCAGGCGAGCGAGCAAAGCCAGGGCTTGATGCACACGAGAGAGCAGAGAAGGCCTGCGAGAGGTGTGCTGCCGTCGAGTGTGGAGGACGTGTGCAAGCCCGGCGCGCTCTGAGAATTAACCACGAAGCTCTGCGCACCAGACCCCAACCCACTCGCTGGGCGGTTCAGGAATCCGGATTCGAGGCTGCACCGGCGGTCCCCGGCAGAGGGCGCAATCCGGCCCGCGGTGCCTTCGGTCTTCGGAGCGCCGGCGGCGGGAGGCGCTTCCGGGCGAGGGCGGGCTTCCGGCGGCGGGAGGTCACTTGGGCGCTTTGGCCCGGGTCGTCCGTCGCCGCCGCACGTGTCTGACGCCGTCCGCGCGATGCTACCGCTGCTTCGCTGCGTGCCCCGCGCCCTGGGCCCCGCCGTCGCCGGCCTCCGCGCCGCGGCCGCGGCCCCGCCGCTCCGGCCGCTGCTGCTGCCCGCGCCCCGGCCTTGCGCCCGGCCATTCGGGCTGCTCAGCGTGCGCGCGGGCTCGGTGCGGCGGCCCGGCCTCCTGCGGGCTCGCGAGCCCTGCTCCTGCGGCTGCGGCGCGCTGCACACGGAGGGTGAGGGGCTCGCGCGTGGCGTGGGGGACCTGATTCCCGACGGCGACTGACAGCACCGCTCCCCGGCTCCCCCGGCCCCGGGTGCGGTTTGGGGGGTGGGGTGCTGCGGCGCTCGTGCCGGAATTGGCTTCTCCGGGCGAGCGGATGCAGCTGCCCGCTTCCAGGCCGGATAGCGCTGGGGAGGCGAGGCGGATGCCGGGCAGAGGGCGGCGGTCCCCGGGTCCCTGTCGGGTGCTTGGCGCTCCTTGACGTCTCCGCGATTCCTCCCCAGGAGATAAAGCCTTTGTGGATTTCCTTACCGACGAGATTAAGGAGGAGAAGAAAATCCAGAAGCATAAAGCCCTTCCCAAGATGTCTGGAGGCTGGGAGCTGGAGGTGAACGGCACAGAGGCTAAACTCGTGCGCAAAGTGGCCGGGGAGAAGTAAGTGCACGGCGCGCCCCGGGGTGCGCGGCGTGGGGCGGCCTCTGGCTCGGGACCCTAAGCTCGCTGGAGCCACATGTCAGCCACCCCGCGTGACTTCACAGCGGGACCCTTCCGCAGCCGCCCTGTCCCTTCTTCCCCCTCCGGCCCCTTGAAACCGCCAAGCTGCCTTCTCTGGATTTGCCTGTGTGGGACATTTTGTGTGAGTGGGAGTCATGCAATATGTGGCCATTTGTGTCTACCTCTCCCCCCCCACCCCCCCCAAGATTGATTTATTGGCTTGAAAGGTAGAGTTAGAGACGTCTTCCATCCACCCCAACAGCCAGAGCTGGGCCAAGCTGGAGCCAGGAGCCAGGCAGCAGGCACTTTTTCCATGTCCTCCCACGTGGGTGCAGGGGTCCAACACTTGGGCCAGCTTTTTTTTTTTTTTTTTTAAAGATTGATTTATTTGAGAGGCAGAGAGTAAGAGTCACAGAGAGAAAGTTACAGAGAGGCGTCTGAGCAGAGCAGCCTGTGGGTGCCAGCGTTGTAGGCAGCAGCTTAGCCAGCTGTGCCACAACACTGTCACCCCCACACCCCCGTTGTTTTTGAGGTTCATTCACACTAGTAATAGCATGTACCAATAGTTAGCTTTTTTAATGACAACATAATATTTCATTATGTGGATATGCTAGATTTTATTTATGTAAGGAAATGGGAGACAGACCAGAGGAGACAAGATACGAAGTCAACGGCCAAAATCAATTAAGAAGAAAAATGGGAGCCAGCGCTGTGGCATAGCACGCTAAGCTGCCACCTGCGGTGCCTGCATCCCATATGGGCGCCGGTTCAAGTCTTGGCTGCTCCACTTCTGACCCAGCGCCCTGTTTCTGCTCCTGGGAAAGCAGCGGAAAATGGCTCAAGTGCTTGGGTCCCTGCACCCACATGGGAGGCCTGGAAGAAGTTCCTGGTTTCCACCTGGCCCTGATCTGGCCATTGTAGCCATTTGGGGAGTGAACCAGCAGATGGAAGATCTCTTTCTAACTCTGTCTTTCAAATACAATAAATAAATCATAAAGGAAAAAAAAAAAGACAAGTGAATTTGCAAAGATGGCCAACCACTGGCATGCGCACAGACAGAACACGTGGCCGAGAGAGCAGGAATTTATTTACGGGCTGGATTTAAATAGCATAGGCCTGATAAGGGCCATGAGGTGCAGTGGAGCTGAGCTAGCTTTTCTATGGAATGCAGAATGCAGAGGGTAGGGTGGGCAACAGTACAGGGCGTAGGACTGAGCTGGTCTCTTGAAGGAAGGTAAAGGGTCCCTCAGGCAAAGAGCCACAATGCCTGAGGCTCATGTCCTTGTTCTGTCAGTTATCCATTCATTTGTTGGCAGGCATTTGACAGGGTTCTATTTACTTTGTGATTCTGGTTTTTTATTTTTATTTTTTTTTTAATTTTATTTATCAGACAGATAGTTATAGACAGAGACAGAGAGAAAGGTTTTCCTTCCGTTGGTTCACCCCCCAAATGGCTGCTACGGCCAGCGCTGCGCCAGTCCGAAGGCAGGAGCCAGGTGCTTCTCCTGGTCTCCCATGGGGTGCAGGGCCCAAGCACTTGGGCCATCCTCCACTGCCTTCCCGGGCCACAGCAGAGAGCTGGCCTGGAAGAAGGGCAACTGGGACAGAATCTGGCGCCCCGACCGGGACTAGAACCCGGTGTGCCAGGCGCCGCAATGCAGAGGATTAGCCTATTGAGCCACAGCGCCGGCCTTTACTGTCGTTTTGAGAGACAGATAGCTCCCATGTGCTACTTCACTCCCTAAATACTGAAATGGCCAGGTCTAGGCTAGGCTGGAGCTGGGAGCTGAATCCAGGTTACCAGGTTATTGCCTTAAAGGTGGGCTTTAGATATTCTGGGTGCAGTTCCCCTTATCAGACACAGGGTGTGCAAGTGTTTTCTCCCATCCTTGGGTGTTTTTTTCCTTTCCCTATGTTATTGGTATTGACATACACTTTTTTTAGTTATTGTTTGACTACACCAAGTGAACTATTTTTTTAAAGATTTATTTATTTATTTGAAAGAGTTACGCAGTCACTCCCCAATTGGCCACAACGACCAGAGCTGTGCCAATCCAAAACCAGGAGTCAGGAGCTTCTGCGTCTCCCACATGGGTGCAGGGGCCCAAGGACTTAAGCCATCTTCTATTGCTTTCCCAGGCCATAGCAGAGAGCCAGGTAGGGAATGGAACAGCCGGGTCTCAAACTGGCGCCCATATGGGATGCCTGCACTGCAGGCCAGGGCGTTGACCCGCTGTGCCACAGAGCAGGCCCCGACATACACTTCTAATTTTGATGAAGCTCAATTTACTGGGTTTTGTTTTTTGTGTATGTGGGCTTTTTTTTTTTTTTTTTTTTTTTTTTTTTTTTTTGTCATTTGTGCTTTTTTGACATCACATTTGACAAACTGTTGGGTAACCAAAGTTTCTAGATATTTATGCCCGGATTTACTTGTAAGAGGAGTTTAGCTCCTTAGGCCCGTGATCACTTGAGTCAACTTTTGTGTACAGTGTGAAATGTAGGGTTCTGATGCTTTTTCCCCTAGGGTGCAGGGGTTTCGCCCATACACAGTGTCAGTTGACAACTGAAGCTTCACTTGAACTTTTCTTCCAGTTTTCGTAGCCAGTTTGGGGCCGTTAGAAATGATACCCTGATGAACAGTGCTGTGTTTCTGTGTCGAGGAACTCAGCTTGGTCAGCGTGGTTGCAGATAGAGTTTCTGGGGCTGAGCCTCAGCCTGCCGCTGTTGCCTTGGGAAGGAGCAGCCCGTTAGCTGAGCAGTGGTGTGCAGGGTGCGGGGTCTGCGCCGCCCAGCCACACCTGGTCTACCCCACTGTCACAGGGATTGTGACTCAACCTTTGGAACATGGAATGTCACGAGGATTCTTGTACCTTATGGTTGTCATGTGTTGGTGTTCCAGCCCGTGGGATGAGTCCACAGTGAGCGCACTGTCCTTTGCCTGGCCTTGTCTTCCAGGGCGCAGGCCTGCTCTCAGGTCCTCAGGTGTATCCCCCAGTGTGCCTTCCCTTCCTCCCAGGGGCAGATTTTGTCATGGAGAAAGCTGTTTTTTTTTTTTTTCTTTTTAAAGACTTGTTTATTTGAAAGGTAGAGTTGTAACTCCGGTTTACTCCCAGATGGCCACAACAGCCGAGGCTGGGCCAGGCTGAAGCCAGGAGCTTCCTTCAGGTCTCCCTCATGAGGGGCAGGGGCCCAAGCAGTAGGGTCATCTTCCACTGCTTTTCCCAGGCCGTTAGCAGGGAGCTAGCTCGGAAGTAGAGAGCTACTCCACGAACCAGTGCCCATATTGAATGCTGGCATCATAGGCAACGCCCTATCCTGTTTTGCCACACCACCAGCCCCGAGAAAAGCTCCTAGAGGGACTTCTGTTCCATCCCCCCAGCTTCTCATCTCGCTTTCACGACACCCCACCCCAGTGGGCAGTGTCAGCTGGCGGTGGGTAACCAGCAGACGCTAGCCTGATGGGAGGAGCTGGTGCATGGCGTCATCACTTGGAGCTCTGCACATGGGGGTGTGCTGGAGACCTGCTCGCTCTTAGGGCTGGATGTGGGTACCCAGCCTCTGTCCACTTCTGCCAGTGCAGACTGTCAGCTGGTGAAGGGGAAACATCGTTGCTATCAGATTGTTTCTGTGTAGCAGGCCTCCATACCTAACGGCTAGACTACTCCACTACAACTGGACCATGTCTGTTGCGTTTCTTTTGCCTTTGTAGGATCACTGTCACTTTCAACATCAACAATAGCATCCCACCAACCTTTGATGGTGAGGAGGAGTCCTCACAAGGACAGAAGGCTGAGGAACAGGAGGTAAGCTCGTAATATCGTGCCCAGTCTGTGCCTCAGCTCCCCCAGGGGCCTAGAGAAACACCAGGTTTTCTTGTTTTTGTTTTCAAAGATTTATTTGAAAGGCAGACTGACAGGGACAAAGATCTTCCATCCTCTGGTTTACTCCCCACATGGCTACAGCAGTCAGGGCTGGGCCAGGCTCAAGCCAGAAGCTCCATCCAGGACGTCACCCATGTGCCAGGCCCATTTGCAGACAGCTGGACCAGAAGTGGAGGAGCTAAGAGCCTGTGGACAGGAAGCAGAACTGAGTCCTTCCCATGACGGGGAGATGTGTGCTATCAGAAATCACCATTTTCTTTTCCCTGGGGGAGGATGTTCCTAAGTCAGAAGCTGGTGGAAAGCACCAGTCACCTGGCCAGAGTAAGAAAGCCAGGGGCAGCAGAGATGTCGTCACTTGGCCAGGTGCGATCTTGGCTTGCTGGCCGTATCGGTGGGAGCTGGGGGTGTCTGGTTTTCTGACATTTTAGGAAGTGGTATACTCGGCCGGGAAGCCCGCCAGTATGAAGGCCAGAGGGTCTCTGACCTTCTGACCAAGTTGTCTCACGCGCCTGCTAGGAGAGCCCAGCTCCCTGAGTGCTTCCATCTCAGCCGCCTGGACTGGCAGCTCCCTGACTTTGGGCTTGGTCTGCTCCTGTCACTGACGGCCGGGCACACCAGCCTCTGACCTGGGCTGTAACAGACTCCTGAGACAGCCAAGCCGGAAAGAGATCTTGGCTGTGTGGCCGGCTTTGCAGTGTGTGGGTGCAGAAATGGGTTCAGGAAGGAGAGAGATCTGAGTCTCAGTTGAGTGCATAGAGCTGGGGCTGGAATGCAGGTTTAAAGTGAGTGTAAAGGACTAAATATCATCCTGACAGGGGTGGCCATCAGATGCTCAGAAGCGTTGGAGGCCTGGCCTGGGCTCTGACCCCTTCCCACAGTGGCACACGCAGACTTGTTTTTGTTTCCTCAGCCTGAACTGACATCAACTCCGAATTTCGTGGTTGAAGTTATAAAGAATGATGGCAAGAAAGCCCTCGTACTGGACTGTCACTTCCCGGAGGATGAGGTGGGTAGAATGGAGTGTGGGCCCTTGACACCCAGGGAGATGAGGGGTGCCTCCTGGGACTAGCAGACACCTGTGGGAGACTGTGGCTTAGACCAGCAAAGCACGGGAGACAGGTGGCGCGTGGAAGTCAGCTCAGGGTAAAGCTGGGGTTTCACACTAGAAGTGCTCCCTTTTCCATGCACCTGTCTGGCTTGTCCTGAAAAACCCGTGTTTCCTGGAACACTGTTCCTTCCCAGGTCGGACAAGAGGAGGAGGCTGAGAGTGACATTTTCTCCATCAGGGAAGTTAGCTTTCAGGCTTCCGGCGAGTCTGAGTGGAAGGACACCAACTACACACTCAACACAGACTCCCTGGACTGGGTGAGTGACAGGGTGGGGGTGCTCTTGGGCCTTGTAGGGGAGCGTCCTGCCTTGTTCAAGGAGAGAAAGCAGCATTGTCATTAGTGGGCCTTACACAGTGTAACACACTGTTTTCCGCAGGCCTTGTATGACCACCTGATGGATTTCCTGGCGGACCGAGGGGTGGACAACACTTTTGCAGATGAGCTGGTGGAGCTCAGCACCGCCCTGGAGCACCAGGAGTACATAACTTTCCTTGAGGACCTCAAAAGTTTTGTCAAGAGCCAGTAGAGTAGGGACAGTGAAACTTGTCTGGCAGGCTGTGGCCAGCGAACAGAACCTGCTCTGACCCCTAGACACCCGTGCGTTGCGACGGTTACCATCCCAATATCATGGAAAATAACATTTAAATTATTACTGTTGCACTCTCATTTTTTTCTGTACAAACTTATTCTAGATTTTTATATAACATACAATGATGGACAATAAATTTGGTTTTATCTCCTCCAAGGTACTTCGTTTTTTCTGTTCCTTGACTTTCAACCTAGACCACGAAACAGCAAGAGCAGAGGTGTTTGAAAAGTTTTAATACAAAATAAATTATAAGTTAAAGGTTGCTATGTACAAGGCCTCTGCTGGAGAGGGAGTGAGTTGTGGTCGGCCCAGGAGAACGGTGCGAATGCAGGCCAGCTCTAGACGATCACAGCCCAGGTGTCACAGGCCTGGAGTGAAACAGGACATATCTGTTAGGAAAGTTACCCACATCCGTGGCCAGAAGCTGCAACCAGTAATGACACTGAGGCAACAATTAGAATGTCTACACCCTGGACGGTGCTGGTCGGCTTCAGTTACAAGTGGGAATGAGTTCAGCCAGAGCGGCTGGTCCTCAAAGGGGCTGCTGGTGGACCGACCTCCCAGGCTTGCTGGAATGTCTACCTTTGACTGTTCATCCCTGGGAGCCTGATGAACCACTGTGCTTCCTCCTGTTTCTCACCTCCCCTCCAAAACGCCCAACAGTGGGCTCGCCCGTCCTGGAACCAGCTCTCCCTATGAAATCCATACCTCAAGTTTTCATAATACATGTTTCCCATGAACTTTCTGAAGACCCCTCGTGCACAGATTTTAGACATTTTTGTGCCAAAATAAAAATATTTTACTTCCATACCCTATGAACTTTCTGATCACCTTAATATATGTGTGTGTATATGTATATGTAATATATCACTTATAAGAAATAATGGTTCCTGTAGCAAGCTTAAGGCGTCCTAAGGTGGCTCCAGTACCTCCTTGTGTAGTCCTGTCCCTCACACCTGAGTTGCCAGACACTAATCCTTGGACTTCTGAAGACTTGCTGAAAGGTGGCCCTGCTGTGCGTCCTGTCCTGTACCCACCTGCAGGGGTGTCAGGGTGACCCACTGGGTCTTAGGACTACCGAGCTGACTACACAAGCACAGTGCAGGTGGGCTCCCTGACCCTCCCCCACCCCCACCCCCACACTCCTGCCCCACTCCTAGGCTGCCTCTTCCCCTTCACACAATGATTGGCCTCCAGCTGAAATGACTTGTGGCCTTCACAGTTCTGTGCCAGCAATTCCTCCAAGAAAAAAAAAACTGCATTAAACATTGACCTGTTTGGGAGCCATTATTTTTACTAGAGTGGGAAGACAACACTGAGCTGCTGGTAACCACTGGGTCCCAGGAGAGACTTACCAGACAGCTCATGAGAAGACTGGGCTTCTCCTCTGTTCCACCGGTGACTGAAAATTCAGGGGTGTGGGGACAATGGGTGCTGTGCTCATTCACGCTGTCCTCTAAAGACGCTCGAAGCATCTGCTCCGTCAGCTCTGGAGACTAAAAAAAGTTCGACCACAACCGCGTCTTAGTTACCTGACAGCTGACAGGCTGAAAATCCTGGTTTCTCTTGCTAACCAGCGTAGCACTGGCTCCCTGGGATGGCTTCCTCCCCCACAGTTGGAGATCTGCGTGGGCTCATGGCTGCTGGGAGGATCTCTGAACCAGTGTCCACTCACCACCTCTCCAGATTGCCCAGGGCACCCCCCGTTCCTGAACTTTGAGAGCTAGGAGGACAGGTCCCGGCCTCGGCCCCTGCCCCTCCTGGCCGAGTGTATCCGTGCCGAGAACTGGCAGCATTTGCTCCCAGAGATCTCACTGAACCTGCTGCCACTGCAACTCCGATGGCAACCAGTAATACAGGGGATGGAAATCAAGTTTCAGTTTTATGATGAGAAGCAGAAAGTTCAGGAAGCACTCAAAAAGGGAAGTTGCTTTTGAAAAAGTTGGGTGGGCATTTGGTACATTGGTTAAGATGCGCCTATCCCATATTGGAGTGCCTGGTTCGGATCTGCTCCCACTCCAACTCCCTGCTAATTCACACTCTAAGAGGCAGCGGATGGTGGGGCACGTAGTTGGGATCCTGTCATGCACACGGGAGACCTGAACGTTCCCAGCTCCTGGCTTGGGCTGCTGGGAGTGAACCAGCAAATGGGGCTGGCTCGTGCTTGCTTGCCCGCTCTCCCTCCCTCTATACACACACACACACACACACACACACACACACACATTTATATACTTCTGCCAATCAATTTTTTTAAAAGCTGTTGAAATACATAAAAGATGGGAAAAAAGAAAAAAATCCTACAGTTGTATGACTAGTTGCTTTATCCATTGCTAACAAACAAGAGTTTTCTATGTAGAAACAATGACTCAGCTCCCCAGCACAGCCCCACTCAAAGACTGGTAAATAAACTTAAGAGGTGTCAAATTTACCGTGGTATGTTTCATTTTTATAATTTTCCACTGGAACCAACGGCTCAACTCACTGACTATTTGCAGTCCCCATGTCAGGTAAGAGACCACCTCCCCTATTTTTAAAGATCACCAAAATTGCCGGCGCCGTGGCTCAATAGGCTAATCCTCCACCTTGCGGCGCCGGCACACCGGGTTCTAGTCCCGGTTGGGGCGCCGGATTCTGTCCCGGTTGCCCCTCTTCCAGGCCAGCTCTCTGCTATGGCCAGGGAGTGCAGTGGAGGATGGCCCAGGTGCTTGGGCCCTGCACCCCATGGGAGACCAGGAAAAGCACCTGGCTCCTGGCTCCTGCCAGGATCAGCGCGGTGCGCCGGCTGCAGCGGCGGCCATTGGAGGGTGAACCAACGGCAAAAGGAAGACCTTTCTCTGTGTCTCTCTCTCTCTCTCTCACTGTCCACTCTGCCTGTCAAAAAAAAAAAAAAAGATCACCAAAACTTACATTCTGAATGGAAGTGTGTCTTCACACAGGAAATTTTAATGAAAGGTCACATACGGGCATTTCCAGTTCTAAACTGGGGTCTCTCTTAAGCAGTGCCAGCGCTCTAGGGGAGGAGCCCGTGGAGATCTGTGAGGTTTGCCAGTTTGCACACCCTATGTACTCTCACCACATTCACCATATGTGTGTTGGACTGCCACCGTGACATCCCTGAACACTGAGCTAGGAAGAGATGGGCACAGTGGGCTCCAGCCCGTCGCTGGGGGCTCTCCCAGGAAGCAGATCCGTGTGGGAACTCGGGGCAGGACACTTACGTGAGATGGGATGGACAGGCCACAATGGCATGCGACCACGCCGCCCGTTATTCTCAGGTTGTACCTAGAAGCAGAATGGGGATTCCAGAGCATCGTGGCCACCAGATCTGGCTCCCCAAACCTTTCCAACGCCGGGGAGAGACCACACTCACCAACAGTGGGGGAAAGGTTTTAAAGACTCTTACTTTGTACACACAGGGCAGATGAGGGGGTTTGCCTCCCACTCAGCCAGCATGACGCTGAGACACTTCTCATCGAACTGCAAGCTCTTCTCGTACTCGCTGATGATGGACAGTTCTGCAAGGCAAAGGCAGCCAGGAGGCTTCACCGTGCGGGCAAGGCTAAGCTCCGCCTTCCCGCCAATCACAGGTCTGACTGCTCTCTCGGGTGGGCGTCACCTTGGTGGACACTGCCCTCTTCTGTGACCACACACTGCAGCCTGTAAACCGACAGGTTTACCTGTGACCTATCAGTGCAGAGGCAGGATAGTCAAATAACCTTGGGAAATGGCGTAACACAAACAATTCTGCTTCCCAGGTCTACCTCCTTCCCGCTGTGTGACCTGTGCGAGGCCACTGCTTTCTGTTCTAACGCGACGCTGTAGGGCAGACACAGACAGAAAACAGCTTCACAGGCCCAGAAGCTCTCAGCACAATGCCCGGAGCCCGTTACTGTTGGGAAATGGCCAAGGCTGCACAGTAAAACCAGAGATTCCACACTTGAGCACGAAGGTAAAGGAACGGGAGTCTGGCACTGATCCCGAGGTGCGGGACGGTCAGCAGCAGGGTAACTGCACAGAGGTGGGAAGGACTCCTCGCTGGGTTACCTTCGTCGATCAGCTCCTGTTGGATTTCCTCCAGCACAGCCAGGTCCATCGGCAACCCCAACTGCAAGAGTAGATAGAGCTGTCAGAGGTCCGAGGTCTCCCTCTGCCACCACGTCCCGCAATGACTCAGACACGGAGGCGAGCTTGAAGAGCCCCGATTTAGCCCCCAAAGTCAGTCCAGTCCTCCTACAAAGTACGCTGACAATGGGGCGATGTGGTCATGCTGAAAGACGTTATCAGCAAATGGTCAAAATCGTGGCACCCGATTTTGGGAAGACAGGATATGGTGGCAGTGAAATGCATGTATGTTCTCCCAAGGCTGAGAACCGCAGGGAAGTTCCTAGTCTCGTGCTAATTACAGAGCAAACACCCGGCATGCCGTGGCTCACAGAAGCCACTGAACAGCGCACATTATTCTGGGGTGCCTTGATGGTTTCCCACTTGCTTTCTGACAGAGTCTTCCTAACGCTGCCAGCATTATCTTCTCCATTTTAGAAACGTAAAAAATGAAGCTCAAGGAGACAGAGCGAAGAGTGAAGAGCAACACCAGGTTTGGAATTCCAGAACTCCTGACTTCTAATCCAGGGGTGCTCTTCCTGATATCCTATAAATGGTTCCCTGTCCCCATCCGGCCCCCAACTCTGGCTGAGATCAGAATCAGACATCTTTTTTACGGAGAGAGACTCCTAGCCGATGCCTATGGAATCAAAGTTTCCAAGGGCAGAGGCAAGAAGTGACATTGCCTTGGCAGGGGTGCCAGCAGTGGTCCTGCTGCCACGACGCAGAAGGGCTGTGGTATTTAGCGAACAGTGATCTGGAAGAGCCCGGTGCTACAGGTAGAAGCGCCTGGGTTGAAAGCTGGGGGTCCTGGCTGGGGGCGTGAAGAACAGTGCTGTTTAGAGGGCTCACGGAAGCAGACACAAAGAGCACGCAACACAGACCTGCGGCGAGGCCTCGGGGGAGCACTCCCCCGCCTGCAGAGCACTCCACTCTTCTTCCATCACCTCCTGCACCAGCAGGGCATTCTGGGCTCGGCCTGGCTCGCCGCCGCCGGCCTGGCGGAACCTGGTCAGAACCCTGTCTCGGCTGTTTCTCATTCTCTCCAGGCAGCCCTTGGACAAAGCAGCGAGATGGGGGTGGGGGAACAGTTTCATTAAAAACACTCAGATTAGTTGGGAGAACATGGAAGGAAAGGTGTAGACACAGACTTTCAACTACAACTGTAACTAGTGTTACAAGTGCATAGTCCCCTCAGGCCTTATCCACACACAGAGAGGGGAATGGTGTGTCCACATTCATTTCTGGTAGCTTTGGGATCCGCAAGGAGGGAAGGCCTGCACTTCCGGGAATGGAGAGTCCCTACCCGCACTTCCGGGGAAGACAAGTCCTTGTCAAGGTCCCCACGGGTGCCTAAAGGTCAACCAATGAGGATCAGACCCGCCTCAACCTTCAACGCCCACGCCCTGTATCTATAAAAGGAGCCCTCCCAATCCTTACACAGGACTTCCCCGGCCCCTGCTCTGTTGGGACCGGGGAACCTCGCCCGGGAGCGGGATCCCAATAAAAGCCTGTGAATTGATTCGTCTGCCTGGGAAGATTTGTTATGCGCCGGACACCTTGCAATTCCCACATTTCATATTTAATCTTCCATGCCAGCTTCCTGACCGGTTGGGAGCCTAACATCTCAGCATTCACTGTCCTATCATAAGCCCTTCATATTGTTTCCACATGCTTGCTACTCTAGCGGTGGTTGTGATAGACGTGTGGTCAAGACTTTCCTGTGCAACAGGGTCTCCCAGCTCAAGGTGACTCTGTCCCCCAGGGGACACTTGGCAATGCTTGCAGACATTTTTGGTTGCCACACTCCAGTTGTAGGACTATTGGCTTCTCGTGAGTAGAAGCCATAGCAAACAATTATCTCCCTCAAAATGTCAATAGCCAAGTGCTATACAGTCTTTCTAGAATCACACTGTGTTCCTGGAATATACCAACCGCTTTATTTATACATTTAATTAAATCGAAGGGCAGAGCTACAGAGAGAGACAGAGACATCTCCCATCCAATGGTTCATCCTCCCCCCCCCCCCCCCCAATGCCCGACACAGCCAGGGCTGGGCCAGGTCCACACCAGGAGGTGCTGCCCAAGGTGGCGCTCCCGGAGCCGGCACAGGGATACTGAACGCGGGCGTCCGGAGCAGCGTGCGGCTACTTCAGCGATTCCTGGAGATCACACTGTTGCTTTCTAGGAACCAGGCGGGGTTCAGAAGCAGCTAGAACTGAGGCGGGGTAGAATTCTGCTGGCACCCAGCAGATGCAGCCCTTCCTCTAAGCCTGTTTGCTCCTCTCCAGGTCAGAAACACTTCTGTCTCCCGTGGCGCACGCAGACAGGTGCGTGTCTCGGGGGACCCCCCGCACCCCCCAACCACACCACACGGTGGCGGCTCGGAAGGTGCGGCTACTACATCAGATTTAAAAGAAGCCCGAGCCCGAGAACAAGTTTTCCTGGCACTGAGAGCACCCAGGCCAATCTCAAACCAGGGGGCCAAAAACTCCGGGAGCGGGCAAATCGAAAATCCAGATCTAAACCTACGGGCGGGAGCCCTGGGTTCCAGAGTCGCCTCCAGCGGCACCCGCTTCCCACAGCGGGGCTGGGGCGAAGGCCCGGATGAGGGCAGTGACCACGGCCCAGGGCCCACACTCACTTTTCTGAAAGCCTCTTTCCACGGCGGCGAGCCCACCAGTTTATAAAGCGAGCGGCGTGGAGACCCCGCCGGCCCGGCCATCTCCTCCTCGCGTGAGTCGCCGCCAAGAGCCCCGCCCCTAAGCGCGCGCACAGAACCCTGGGAGTTGAAGTTTCTGGACGCCGGTGGAACGTGGGTCGCAGGGAGTTCTGGGAATTGTTGTACTAGAACACGGAGACGAAGGATGGGGCGGTGGGGGCTAACGCTGTGAGGTCAACCCAGCCCGGACTGAAAGAGGTAAGTCTTGAAGGAAAGTTCTGAATGCTTGGCAGTATCCAGCCAACAATTAGATACGTAGGGCTCTCAGTCTTTTGCACGGGCGCTAGACGTCCAGGCGCTCCCAAACTTTGTTAACAGGCTCTATACTGTTGACTTCCTCATCCCGCCCCCTCCTGGCTGCGGGGTAAATCCTGGACTGGCCATTGGCTCTCCCTCGGGCTATACCCCTAGCTGATGGGCTGCATCCCCCTTTTGCCCCGCCTCCTCGTGCTAGCCTCGTGCTTCCGGGCTTCCTGCTCGATGATTGGACGAAGCGGTGGACGGCTGGCCACGGATTGGCTGCGCTCCGCGGCGGGCTGAGCAACCCGAGTGAGGCGAGCAGTTGGGCCAAGATGGCGGCAGCCGATGGCGTCGTGGGTGACGGTGAGCCGTGGCAGACCTGGCTTCCCAACCACGCCGTGTTCCTGCGGCTGCGGGAGGGACTGAAACATCACAGCCCAGCCGAAGCCGAGAAACAGACGTCGTCATCACTGCCCACGTCGCCGCCGCAGGTGCTGACGAGGAACCTGGTCTTCGGCCTCTGCGGAGATCTCTTCCTGTGGGACGGGGAAAGCAGCTCGTTCTTAGTCGTGCGCCTTCGGGGCCTCCGCGGCGGCGGCGAGGAGCCCTCCCTCTCCCAGTACCAGGTAGGGCCAGGCCGTCGCGGAGGTGCCCCCCGCGCGGGCTCTCGGCAAGGGGGCCGGTGTGGGCTGGTTCTCGCGGGAGCGGGCGTCCTCTCGGGGACACACCGCTTGGAGCGGGGTGGTGAGTGGGGTGCGGCCGAGGGGAGGGCCGGGACGGCTGCGAGAGCGCGGGGCCGGGGTCGCCTTGGGAGCAGGTGCCTGCCCTCGGGGAGGAAGCCTCTGTGGGAGTCTTTCCCTTACCCTCCGCAGAGTTGGAAGGGACTTTGGTTTGTTTTTGTAAGTTGTCAGCGTGTGGAAGTGGACGCTTGCTGCGATTGGACATTGCTGTATGAAAATGTTTATTTGTAATACATGATCTGCTTTCATAAAGATTAAAAAAAAAACTTAGGGCACCCTTTCCAACGTCTGACATCTGTTGTGTGCTGCTGTCCAGTTCTTGTTGATGAGCAGTGATTTGATTTTTTTTTAAATGTATTTTGTTTATTTGAATGGCAGAGTTAGAGGTGGAGAAAGAGAGATTGTCCATCCTGGTTCACTCCCCAAGTGACCACTCCCCAACGACCTGGGCTGGACCAGGCCAGAGAGAGCCAAGGGCTTCTTCCTGATCTCCCACGTGGGTGCAGGGGCCCAAATACTTGGGACATCTTCAGCTGCTTTCCCAGGAGCATTAGCAGGGAGGTGGATTGGATGTGGAGCAGCTGGGTCTCCAGCTGTTGCATGTGTGGGATGCCGGCATTGCAGGTTGTGGCTTAGCCCATTAGGCCATAAGACTGGTCCAAAGTGCTTTGATTTTAATGAGATGCTAGCATTGCTTCTGCAGCTTTGAAAATAGGTCCAGCCTACAATCTACTTAGTATAAAATTTCAGTTAAGAATAACTATCAGATGTTCAGCGCACAGTATTCTAGCAGCATTCAACACAGTCAAAATTGATATATAACTATTGTCTTTTCTAGGCTGTAAGCACTAAGGCAGGGTGTGTGTCTGCCTTGTTAATTTTGGTATGGCAGGTACTTGACTGAGTGCCTGGAACACACCCCCTCCCAGTACATATTGTTGACTGAACAACCCTCAGTCCTCCAGAATCTCGAAAACCTCAGAGATTGGTGAGGAAAAGCCATTTACCATGAGTTACAACCTTAAATTTAAAAAAAAAAAAAAAAAAACACACCCCACAACATAAGCTTGTCGCTTTTTATGTTCCAGTAACAACATGGGGCTGTAGTGGGTAAAGCCGCCCGACGGCTGCTCCACTTCCAATCTAGCTCTCTGCCTATGGCCTAGGAAAGCAGTGGAAGATGGCCCAAGTCCTCAGGCCCCTGCACCTGCATAGGAGACCCGGAGGAAGCTCCTGGCTCCTGGCTTCAGATCGGCACAGCTCCGGCTGTTGCAGCCAATTGGGGAGTGGATAGAAGACCTCTCTCTCTCTCTGCCTCTCCTTCTCACTGTGTAACTCTGACTTTCAAATAAATAAATCTTCAAAAAAAAAAAAAAAACAGAAATCTAAATAAAGATATTTTCATAGATGAACTCATGTGATTGAATTGTATCTGAAGCAGAAGCAAAGCGGCCTCTTCAGTTTGAGTTAGGCTGTGGAATCAGGTAGGAAGAAGTTGGGGGCTGAGCATGAGGAGAAAGCAGAGAAGAACCACTTAAGTGCCTCAGAATTGTTTTGAGAAGAAACACTTTGATTAGAATCACTGACGGACAAATAAAAAACAAAGCAGGCTTATAGACGTTGCAGCAGTAAGTAGAAATCTCATTCAGGCGGCCCTGCGGCTCACTAGGCTAATCCTCCGCCTAGCGGTGTCGGCACACCGGGTTCTAGTCCTGGTCGGGGCGCCGGATTCTGTCCCGGTTGCCCCTCTTCCAGTCCAGTTCTCTACTGTGGCCCGGGAGTGCAGTGGAGGATGGCCCAAGTGTTGGGCCCTGCACCCCATGGGAGACCAGGAGAAGTACCTGGCTCCTGGCTTCAGATCAGCGCGGTGCGCCGGCCGCGGGGGCCTTTGGAGGGTGAACCAACCAACGGCAAAGGAATGCCTTTCTCTCTATCTCTCTCTCTTTCTTACTGTCCTCTTTGCCTGTCAAAAAAAAAAAAAAAAAAAAAGAAAAGAAAAAGAAAAAGAAAGAAAAAAAAAAGAAAAAAAGAAATCTCATTCAGAGTAGAGTTGTCTAAAAGAATTTTGGCTTCACGCGATTCTTGTACCAGGTAAATAGTACATTGACAGTCTCACGGCTTTCACTGAACAGGGAAAGAAAAGAAAACGGGAATCTGAGGTGGTCTTAGGAAATAGGAAGTACAAGTGGACGTGAGTTTTTCAAGGACTTTTTTTTTAAGGTTTATTTTTATTTATTTGAAAGAGTTAACAGAGAGGTAGAAAGAGATCTTCCATCCACTGGTTTACTCCCCAAATGGCTGCAATGGTTGGGACTGAGCCAGACGGGAGCCAGGAGCTTCTTCCTGGTCTTCCAAGTAGATGCAGGGGCCAAGCACCTGGACCATCTTCAGCTGCTTTCCCAGGCACATTAGCAGGGAGCTGGATCAGAAGTGGAGCAATGGTCTGGAACCCACATGGTGCCCGTATGGGATGCCAGCATTGCAGGTGGAAGCTTATTCTGCTGCTCTACAATGCTGGCCCCAAGGACATTTGATGCTGAGAAAGATGTCTTATCAGAACCCTTGAATATATTTATAGTTTTATATTAACTCTGCACATATAAAGCAGTATTTTGCCTGTTGGAGAAGCTCTTGAAGCCATTCTTTTTTTTTTTTTAAAGATTTATTTTTATTTATTTGAAACTGTTACAGAGAGAGGTAGAGACAGAGAGTTCTTCCATCCGCTGGTTCACTCCCCAATTGGCCACAACGGCCGGAGCTGTGCCATCTCCTCCGGGTCTCCCACATGGGTGCAGGGGCTGAAGGACTTGGGCCATCTTCTTACTGCTTTCCCAGGCCATAGAGAGCTGGATTGGAAGAGGAGCAGCTGGGACTCGAACCAACTTCCATAGGGGATGCCGGTGCTTCAGGGCAGGGCTTTAACCCGCTGTGCCACAGCAGTGGCCCCGAAGCCATTCTTTATCTTACTTTACTGTTTGTAGTTTAATAAAATATAGTAGTTATCACTTGTTAATACTTCTGGATTCATTTGCTTTTTTCACAAAGCATTTGTAGAGTCATCAGTATACTAGACACTACGCTAAGTTTACAGAGAAGAAAAGCATGGATCTCAAGTGATTCATTGTGTAGAATGAGCAAGTAAAATGGAGAATTAGAATGCAGGACGATAAGAACTAGAATGGAATCATCCAGAGTGTGCTGTAGAAGTAGATACATATATCCCTGGCCAGATCATGGATACTTTCTTGGGGAGAAAGTGCTTTGAAGCCAACTCTCCAAAAATGTATAGCTTTTTTTTTGTTTTGTTTTTAAAGATTTATTTATTTGAAAAGCAGAGGCAGAGAGTGAGAGGTCTTCCATCGCTGGTCCACTCCCCAGATGGCCACAGTGCCCGGAGCTGTGCCATTCTGAAGTCAGGAGCCAGGAGCTTTTTCCTGGTCTCCCACACGGATATAGGGGCCCAAGCACTTGGGCCATCTTCTACTGCTTTCCCGGGCCGTAGCAGAGAGCTGGCTCGAAAGTGGAGCAGCTGGGTCTTGAACCAGCGTCCATATGGGATGCTGGCACTGCGGGCAGCAGCCTTACCCTCTGTGCCACAGCACTGGCCTCAAATATGCAGTTTTTTTTTTTTTTTAAGATTTATTTATTTATTTGAAAGAGTTACACAAAGGGAGAAGGAGAGGCAGAGAGGTCTTCCATCCTCTGGTTCACTCCTCAGCTGGCCGCAATGGCCGGAGCTGTGCCGATCCAAAACCAGGAGCCAGGAACAGCTTCTGGGTCTCCATGAGTGTGCAGGGGCCCAAGGACTTGGGCCATCTTGAACTACTTTCCCAGGCCATAGCAGAGTGATGGATTGGAAGTGGAGCAGCCAGGACTTGAACTGGAGCCCATATGAGATACTGGCACTGCAGGCGGCGGCTTTATATCACAGCGCCGGCCCCCTGTGCAGCTTTTAAAAATAAAAAATGAGGGCATTGCAAGAAGAACAGTTGAGCAAAACATAATTTTCCAGAAATACAATTTAATCTGATTAAAATGTAAAGTGCAAGTGAGAAATGGTAGACAGATGAGACTAAAATAGTAGGAGGAAAATTGTGCAGTAATCTTGTATCAAAGTATTCAACGTAAATGATGAAAAATATTTCATCAGTTAATGGCCCAAGAGTGCTTTGTTATCCTGCAATTATAGAAAACTAAAGTATTGTTGTATTAGTGATTTTGACCAGTTTGTTTTCATTTCCAGAGATTGCTTTGCATAAACCCACCCCTGTTTGAAATCTATCAAGTCTTGTTAAGTCCGACACAACATCATGTAGCACTTATAGGAATGAAAGGACTTATGGTATTAGAATTACCTAAAAGATGGGGGAAAAATTCTGAATTTGAAGGTGGGAAATCAACAGTAAATTGTAGGTAAGTTTTATTTCCACTTAGTGTTTTCTGTGTAATTTTTAATACATTGTTCAAAACCAGTAGTTC